CCCCTAAGGCCTCACCTCTGCCTCGTCTGAAATCCCCTCCCCATCATCTATCCTTATTATCTTCAAGGTCCAGCTCAGAGGCCACCCCTTCCCGGGACTTCCCTGGTGGTCCAGTAGTTAAGACTCAATGCTTCCACTGCGGGAAGTGCAGGTTCAATTCCCGGCCAAGGGACTAGGATCCCACATGTCACATAGCACAGCAGCCCCCCCCCCAAAAAAACCACCACCCCCTCCTTCCTCTTTACCTTCCTGGCACTGATAAGAGAGTACTTTTAAAACTCTGCTTGAAAAAAAAACAAAACTCTGCTTGGTATTACACTAACATATGTAAATAGATAGTGGGAATTTGCTGTGACTCAGGGAACTCCAACTGGGGCTCCCTAGTAATCTAGAGGGATGGGAGGTGGGAGGGAGGTTCTAGAGGGAGGGGATGCCTATGGTTAATCCACGTTGATGTACAACAGATATCAAACCAATATTGTAAAGCAATCATCAATCAATTTAAAATAAATATTTTTATTTAAAATTTAAAAACATAAACTATTAACAAAAACAAAAACTCTCTGCTTGGTAATAAACTCATTTGGTTAGCCTCAGGGGCAAAGACCGTGGTCTCCCCCCAGCAGGGAGCACAGTGTTGGGTCTTGAGTGTTAGTTGGCATCTTTCCCCTATCAGCTCCTACTACACAGTCTGGGAACCAACACCCTCTGCTCCCAGATCAGTAGTTCACAGAGGCCTCAACTTCCCCCTCAGAGGCTAAGTAAAATAAAAATAACTACAACTTTTGACAGCACTCTACAGTTTGAAAAGTGTTTTCCTTTGTCTTTGGATGACTCATTCCATCATCACAGCAACTCATGAGGGGGATCTGCAGGCTCACTTCAGTGATGAGAAAGCCAAGCCCTAAAGCAAGAAGGCCCGCAGGCAGGCGGTTGTGGAGCCCAGAGACTGAAAGTTTGCCCAGGCCATCAGTCTAGTTAGAAGAGACCTGGGCTGGGTCTCTACCTGGCCCCGGATAAAGACCAGGTGAGCGGGGAAGGGGCCTGCTTTGGTTCTATATGGGCAGGGCCTATTCCAGAAGCCGAGGGCTACCAAAGGGATGGGCAGCAACCTTGAGGGAAGGCCCACAGGGGAGGGATAGGGAACTCGGACAACCCCCAAGAATTACTACTAGGGGGTTTCTGTGGCTCTGACCACTGACTGGTGAAAGCAGAAAGGAGGGACCTGATATGGTCTGGGTTTAGGCCAATAACCCACACACACACACCACCCTGCAGAGTTCCTGCTAGACCCTCTGTGAGCAGGTGAAGTGTGGAGGGACCAGGAGTATCTACGACCTGGAACAGATGAGAGGAGGAGATGTTCCTGCACCAGTGGCCCTGGGAGGTTCCCATGGCAACAGCCTGCCAATCCAGCACCTGTCCAGGGGCCCAGCAGAGGGGGCTGGGTGTGGTCCTCAAAAGCAACACAGGCCTCTTCAAGGTGCTTATAGGGTGGGGCAGGCCTGAAGGTGACCACCACCCCATGCCCCGACTCCCCAGCATGGGTGGGAGTAAAAGGCAGGGGTGAAACTGGGGCCTGGAGGACCCAGGGAAGCAGGAAGAGATGGGGAGGATCCTGGAGGAGGTTAGGGCTGGAGGAGGCATGATGAGAGAAGGTGGAGCTGAGGGCAGGAAAGGAGCTGAGGCTGAAGAATGAGGGGCAGGGGTGGGAGGCAGGAATGGCAGGTTGGGGGACCGCAGGGAAATAAAGTTGGGGGATGGTCAAAGGAAGCAGAATTTTTCCACTTAAGAGGGGAAAGCCAAGGAGGGCCACCCCCGACTCTAGTGATTTCCCCGAGACACGCCGGAGCTGAGCACTTAGCTGGGGGAGTTCCCTAGGAAAAGGCGGAAAAGGCAGAAAATCCAAGTGCTTAAAATCCCAAATGCTTAAACTGGAAGGGCCCAGGCCACAGCTGGGGGCCAAGCAAGGTTGTGTGGCAGCGTCCAGTGGGTCTACCCTCCTGCATGGTCAAAAGCTGTCCCCGGCCCTGTAGGGAGGGAGCTCTGTCCCCACAGCTCCAACCTCCCTTGGCTTGTCTCCACATGCTGTGCCTGTGACCAGCGAGCACCCTATGATCTGAGACGCGGGGTCCCCACTCTTTACCAGCGCTGCTGTAGGAGCATGGCTGTGATGGAGTGGCATAGTGACCTACAATGGGCAGGAGGATCACTGACGGGGGGCACCTGAGATAGGGTAATCAGAATGGCCAATGTCCTTCGTGTCCTGGCCCCTCCCCAACCTACCCCCTGGGTTCGTGGCCTTTTCTTCCTGATTCAGCAGTTTCAGAAACCTCCAGCTCAGCATATCTATTTCCTGAGTGGCTCAGAAAGAGGAGGGGGCTTGGGGGAACTTCCTAGCCTCCTTGAGAGTTCGTTATGCAAACGAAGGAAATGGGCCCTAGAAACGAAACTGAGAAACCCCAGGCAGCCCACACCCTCTGGGAACCCAGGGGGCCAGTTTGTGTCCCCTCCCTAAACACATTCTCCCTCCTGGGACACGGAATCATACCTCCTACCTAGCCTGCCTCCCTCTCCAAGAAGTATAAGTTCTGACACTTGCAGAAGGCAAGCAATGTGAACCAAGTAAAAGAGGCTTCCTCAGGTGTATGATGGTCCACAGAGCCAGGATGCCAAATGCAGACCCCAGGCTAGACTGTACTTGCTTGTCCCGACCCCCACTCTAGAAGACTTCTTTCCTAAAGCCCCTTTTCATTGACCCTCTGCCTAGGAGGAAGTTCTTCCTTAGGTCTAACTGCAATCCCTCGTGCTGCAGAAGGTGGGCTCCACTGGACTATAAACTCCGTAACACGCCTCTGTATTCTCAGTACCACACTGCCTCTGGTACACAACAGAGTGTAAATGTTTGCTGAATGAGTGGACCTTGTTCCATCCCCACCCTGCCTCACCCCATCCAATTAGAATTCAGTTCAGTTCAGTCACTCAGTCATGTATAACTCTTTGCAACCCCGTGGACTGCAGCACTCCAGGCTTCCCCGTCCATCACTAACTCCAGGAACCCAAACTCATGTCCATCGCGTTGATGATGCCATCCAACCATCTCATCCTCTGTCGTCCCCTTCTCCCGCCTTCAATCTTCCCCAGCACCAGGGTCTTTTCCAATGAATTGGTTCTTTGCATCAGGTGGCCAAAGTATTGGAGTTTCAGCTTCAGCATCAGTCCTTCCAATGAGTATTCAGGACTGATTTCCTTTAGGATTGACTGGTGGATCTCCCTGCAGTCCAAGGGACTCTCAAGAGTCCTCTCCAACACCACAGTCCAAAAGCATCAATTCTTTGGCACTCAGCTTTCTGTGTAGTCCAACTCTCACATCCACACATGAATTAAATAAGCTAGCACCCTTGAAGTCCTTTAACAGTGAGCAACCCATCAGCTGTAGTGTTACAGAAGCACTTGCTATCAATTACAGTCCCCTTTTGGGCAGAACCCTGGGCTTCCGTGGTGGCTCAGACAGTTAAGAGTCTGGCTGCAATGTGAGAGACCTGGGCTCGATCCCTGGGTCAGGAAGATCCCCTGGAGAAGGAAATGGCAACCCACTCACTCTAGTATTCTTGCCTGGGAAATCCCACGGACAAGAGGAGCCTGGAGGGTTACAGTCTATGGGGTCACAGAGTCAGACGTGACTGAGGGACGAACACACCTCAGCTCTAACACACTCCCTGGACCTGGCCTGAAGTCACACATTCATTCTGTCCCCCCAAGGGGATTTCCAGGCCAAGCAAGAAGCCCAGTCAGGAAGGACTTTCTAAAAAGAAGCCTGGGGGAATCTGGGTCTTCCTGGGAGAAGTAGCCAGAGAGTGGCCCAAGTCAGTGGGATTGGGGTCCAAGATTCGGGGCGCTTAGTAGTGAGATAGGCGAGGTCTGGAGCAAATGTGGAGCCAGGGCGCCACCTAGTGGTCCCCTCACACCGCGCCCTTCCCCCACACCGCGCCCCCCGCCCCCCAACGCAGAAGCCTGTGCTGTGAGGTGGGGGTGGGGAGCCCCTCCTCCACTCTAAAGGGAGTGAAATCACTTCTGAGCGCCAAATATTGGACACATATTTTGTTTACATTGATTTATTTACAATCCTGCTCGAAGAGTCCCCAGCCCTTCAATCTCCCTTTTTGGGGATTAGAAACCCAAGGTTCCCAGGGATTGATTTGCCCAAAATCACTCAACCTGGATTTGAGCCCAAAACCCACTTGCATATTTCTACATCTCCCAGGGATGCAGCCAAGACAGCTGTGAGCAAAATGGGGAGTTCCAGCCCAGAGGGCCTGAGGTTTGCGGGGAGGATGAGGTGATGGGGAGGGGAGAAGGTGAGTACCAGTCCCTATGAGGTGATGGGTGTGGGCTTCCCCTGTGCTTAGAAACAGCCCTAAGCGACAGAGCCTCCACCCAATGTCACAGCTCCTACAGAATTTTATTGGAATCTGAGTCTACAGTTCACAAGCAGAGGTGAGGCCACGTGAGGAGCAGGGCTAAAAAGGGGACTTCGATTCCCTAGGGATAGCTCCTTCCAAATCTAACAAAACCCCAGGAAAAGCCTTCATGCTGGGCCTCCAGCCAGCCGTGCGAATAGAATCCCAGGGTACACGGGTCAGTGTGTGCAGCCAAGGGGCCCCCCTACAGACACACACACGCACACGCCCACGCACCAGCTCTCTGGCTTTAGAATCTGAATTGCCCCATACCTCTTACCCCCACCCTACCCTCCTAAAAAACAGGCTTGTCTCTCATCCCCCCTTCACAATCTGGCTGCAAGGGTCACGGCCCTAAGAATTTGCATTGATTTGCATAGACAGCAAAGCAGCTCCAGCTAAGGCCTTTTTGTAGCAGAAGTCGTATCAGTGCAGGGCTCGGTGATCTCCACTCTCCTCTGTGAAGGACATCCAATGACACCAAGTGAGCCGAGGGAGGTGGCAGTTTAACGGTTCCCAGAGGGCAGATAACGAGGGGCCTCAGCCCCTGCGGTGGGGGCTGTGCTCCTCCTTGAGCCCCACAACTCTGGAGTTCTGCAAATGTTTGCCCTTCCCAGACCTGTAGGGGGGCAGGGAGTGGAGGCAGGAAGAGGCCTTTAGAGAACAACGTCATGTGATGAGAAGCTGGGCTCCCTGAGAGGGGACCCTAGGCAGGTGACACGGGGAGCCACCGTCCATCAGACTGGGGGGAGGGGAGTGTGGCCAGACCTGGTGTCCCAGGACAAGGCCCCAGCTGGGGAGACGGGAAGCAATCTCTCTTACCCTCCAGACCACACAGTATGGACAGCACAGGGCAACTTGGGAGGAAAAAAACTCTAGCCCCAAAGGAGACTCCCCAGGACCACTCTGGGCTGAGCACAGGCTCAGCTTTCTGCCCTCAGGAGACAAAGCCTCAAACTGAAGCCCCCCAACTCAGGGCCCTGAATCCTTCACACACACACAGACACCCCACCCCACCATCACCTCCTGCCCCCTGCTCTGTCCCCCTGACCCAACTCCCCCACAGCTGCCCACCTCTTCTTCAGTGCTTTGTCTCCAAAGAAGTGGCTGAAGATGAAATCCTCAAAGTCATCCACCTCGTCGTCGTCACCTGTTTGTCTCACCGCTACCTCCTCCAGGCTGTCCTCCAAGGCGTCTACAAAGTCACGGAAGCGGAGGCGGTCGTGGCGGAAGATACCATCCTCACCGAAGTAAGTGGGAGAGAGGGGCAGCTCCTTGGTCAGTGGCCCGGCCCAAGGCAGGCGCGCCAGGTACGTCCTCAGCAGAGAGGCCAGCTCCTGTTGCTGCACAGGGGCTAGCTCTACGCCAAAGAAGGCCAGGCCCTCCTGCCGGGCACACTCACGGACACCTGAACAGCCCTGGGGTGCCTGGTACTTGTGCTTGGACAGCTCTGCCCAGAGTGGCAGGGGGTCATGCCTGTCTTTAGCTCCTTCCTTCCACCGAGGGTGTTTCTGCCTTTCTCCGGAGGGGTGGGAGCTCCCACTTTTCCTGGGGGGCTCCTTGGAACGCTGTCGCTTGCCATCCTTCTTGCTGGCCCACTCCTCCACCCTTGGCTTGCCCTCCTTCCACCTCCCCGCCCGCTCCCTGTCCTCCTCACCAGGCCAGCTCTTCTCCCGGCCAGATACCTCCTTCTTATGTTTCCGGTGCTCGGTCTTCCAGTCCCCTTGCCTATCCCACCACTTTTCCTTCCCACTCCGCTCCCTGGAATTCTGGAAGTGAGGCTTCTGATGCCAGGCCTCTGAGACATTGGCAGGGACCCCAGGGCGCTGGCCCCAGTCCTCCAGGCCCCGCAGCTTCTGGGCCAGCCTGTGACCCAACTCAGCCAGGCCAGCCTGGGCTGGATCCCCTCGGCCCGCATCCCTCAAGCTCCGTTCCAGGTCCTGCTGCACAGACCCCAGCAGCCGCCGCTGCCGCTCCAACTCTTGCCTTAATGCCTGGGCCTCAGCCTCTAGCTGTTTCTTTTGCTCCAGGAATCCAGGGCTTGGCTCCTGCCCTGTAGCGCCTTGCTCCTTGGTAACCTTGCCAGCCTGCAGGCCTCTGCCCCAATGGAGACACAGCCCATCTGCACCCTGGACGCAGTCAGCCTCCAGTCCCTGAAGCTGGGCCCGCAGCTGCTGCAGCTCTGACTCCAGGGCCCGCTGGGAGGCCTCGCCCTGCTGGAGGGCCCCTCGGAGCCGGGCATTCTCCTCTTCTAGCCCTTTGGGCTGATGCATCAGGCTCTGAAGCTCTTCCTTCTGGGCCTGAAGTGGGAGTAGGGATAGAGGGCCCAGGGAGTCGTCAAGGATAAGTCCAGTGCCTGCTACCCTAATTCTATTCCATCATAGCCTTTATGGCCTGAGAGACTCAGAGGATTTGGTTTTCATCTCCCAGCCCATGTGCACCTTTCACCAGACCCTGGGATCCCCAAATTCCACCACAGGCCTTAGCTCTATCTGTTTATAAGCCCACACTTCTTTAATTCACCTAAAGAGAGCCAAGATATGGCTCTCATTGCCCTATTTCCATCTCCCATACCCAGAACAGATATTATTAACTGATCACAGCACTTCTTTCCCACTGAGTCTTGGCATGTTCTTCAAATCCCTCTCCACACAAGGCTCCAGGTAGGCCATGCCAATCAAGCAGAGGTGGCATGCCACGTGACGCAGATATGCCAGTCCTGGCCTAACCCTTAGCATGCAGGACAGGAACAAAACAAGGAAGATGACTGGACTCTAGTGGGAAAGGGAGGGGGTCAGGGTATGTGGGTGAACACAGGAAACTTCTCTGGGGGGAGGAAACTGGACAGACAGACACGTGGCCTAGGGAGGGTGTGTAGCCCACCCCATCCTGCTTGTGCCCACCTGCAGCTGGGCCTGCAGTAGTCGGATGTCCTGGTTCTCCTTGGCCAGCTTATCCAGCAGAAGGGCCATGTTCTGCAGGCTGGGCACACTGTCCAGGAGCTCTGAGGTCTGTAGCTGCTGTAGTCCATCCTGAGGGCAAAGGTGGCTCAGTCAGTAAAGAATCTGCCTGCAGTGTGGGAGACCCAGGTTCGATCCCTGGGTCGGGAAGATCCCAAGAGAAGGGAATGACTACTCACTCCAGCATTTTTGCCTGGAGAATTTCATGGACAGAGGAGCCTAGTGGGCTACAGTCCATGAGGTCGCAAAGAGTCAGACACGACTGAGCAACTAACATACATACACACACACACACACAAGGGCAAAGGAGCCAGTCACCCCAGCCCAGCCCCACAACCCAGACAGCCCCCACCAGGCCCCTGGCACAGAGGGAGACAGTCACACATGCCTGCCCATCCCCCACAGCCTCCAGCATCTCAGCATCAGACTCCGGATCTGGCAAGACCTGCAGGTCTACTCCCTCCAGGGGCCCTGTGGGAAAGTGGAATCCTGAAACTGGCCTCCAGGCACACAGCCCCCACTCCTCCTCCCCGTCCCTGCCCCCTCAACACACACACAGTCGCTGTTCTGCACTGGACCCTGCCCTAGGGCTGAGGGGTCCAGCAAGGTAAAAGGTCAAGGGTCACCCCGAATAGCTGACATAAGGCCTATATCTGAGCAAAAACTGTACAGCCCCCAGCATCCCTACTCCTGACCCAGGGAACTGCCCCCATAAGCCTCCCGCAGGGCTGGAAGGGGACAGACACAAACCAGTCAGGGCCCATCCTCACTCACCACTTTCAGACTCTGAGAGGCCACCTGAAATGGAGACAGAGGCAGGGGCAGAATGCGGTCAGAGTGCTGCAAGAGGGGCCAGAGCAGAGGCTCAAGGTGCCAGCGGGGGAGGGACCACTCACCAAAGAGGAGGATCCCCAGGCCCAGCAGAACCAGGGACCCGAGGAGACACATGTTGAGGGAGATGCCCAGCTCCCCGCCTGCACCTTCGCCCTGGCCCTGGCTCTCCACACCCAGGGTGGCCGTGGGCTGAGGAGTGCCGGGCTCCCGGCCCCGCCGTCTCCGCAGACCCTCCACATCCACATCGGTGTCGTCCTCCTCACTGCTGGAGCGGTGGGCCTCCTCCCTGATCTGAGCTGAGGGTAGGGAGGGGGACAGGGCAGTAAAGAAACTGGAGACAGACAGACCAGAACCAGAGGCAAACACAGGAGACCCCCAGCCGTGATCACAGAGGGAGCACATGGAGACCCTGCCCACACGTGCTTGGGCATCAGTGACTACCCCTGCCCAGACTGAAGACCAGTCCTTTCTACTACAGACAAGATACAAGAGCAACCTTCATCCTAAAAGCGCACCCCCCCCCCCCACCACCTGTGCCTCCTGCCCTGGTTCTGTCGGAAACCTGGCTACGCCCTCTCAGTGTCTCCTTTCAATGCCTGGCTGCTCCCGGTCCTAGAGGCAGAGGTCTCCCTGGCACCATTTCTGCTTTTCTGCTCTTCTCACCGCACACATAATCACACACTCTCATCCACCCCGCCGGCTTCCCCCTAGAGAGGATTGAGTCTCTCATCTGTAGCTCCCGACTGGCCTCCCTAGAAGCTCCAGGCCCAGATGTCTGACCACCTCCTGGTCACGTCCACCTGGCTGTCCCTGGGGACCGACCACTCAACACACTGCTCTGCAAGCTGGTTCTCTCCTGGCGCCCCCCCAATGCAGGGCAAGACGCCACTGCTCCAGCGAGCCGACCTCAGCCCTCCCTCTTTACCTCCCGCGCACAGTTTGACAACACACCATCTCAGCGGCACATGCCTCTTTCCGCCTTAGTTCAGGTCTTCCTCAGCTTCGTCTGACTGCAGTTGCCCCCTAAATGGCCCCAGACCCTGCCTCCCCCTCCACCCTGTCACCCCTCAACAGAGATGCATTCTCACACTTCTGCCACCAGCCTTGGACGCAGCCTCCTCAGTACAGGACAGGGGAACCCAGCCCTTTGTTGATGCTGCAGCCTTGGCCTGCATGTTGTCTTCCTCCTACCCTACCTACCAAAAGTCCACTCTTTGCTCAAGCTTCCACTCAAATGTCACCTCCGGTGTGAACCTGTTCCCCAACTGTCCCTGCCTCCTCCTTCCCCTCGACCTGTCCCCTGACTAAACCACCCTCCCCCGTTCCTGAGGGGGCCCCTTAATCACACCACCTTTGCACCCTCACAAGTCTGACTTGCCCCTTGGCTCAGCCTAGTCCACTTCTTATACAGGCCGTGAAGCCAGCCTGCCTTCCCAGAGCTGACTCATGGGAGGGACTCAGGGAATGAGAGCCAAATCTAGAGGCGAGTAAAGAGGAGGCCCCACAGGAGAGAGGAAAGAGCTGATCAGACCCAGGCCCTGCCACTTATCAGCTGTGTGACTTAACCTACACCTGAGTGTCCCCAGGGGCGACAGTGGTGAGGATTCACAGACACAGCTTAAGGAAGGCTCCAAGCTGCCGAGTCCTAGGACCTGGACCAGAGCTGTGCTCGGCAGTGATGTCTATCTATTCCTAGTCCAACACCTTCTAGAAGGATAGTGACGGGAAACCAGGAGGACTCTCACCTGTGTTGGGGGATGAAGGCAGGCTGCGGGGGGGGCTCTGATCCTCCAGGTCCTGTGAGTCCGGTTCCAGGCCTACCACCTCAGGGGTCTCCTCCAGGTCTCCCCGGGCCTCTGTGTCTCCTGGGCCGGAGGTCTCCATTCCAGGGTCATCACCTTCCAGGACACCCTGCTGCAGACACAGCTGTGAACGCTTCCCACGTCCCCGGCCCTCCCCACTTCCCACCCTTCCCCCAGGGAAGGTGCTCACCTTGGCCTCAGCCTCCTCTGACAGAATGGGCCCAGATTGGGAGCTCTCACCCTGGGACACAGTCTCTGTGGTGGGAGAAAAGACTCAGGAAAAACACCACGGCCCCCCCTCCCAGTTGAACATACTACACAGCTCCCTGGCTCCCACAGGCTGCGACCAGGCAGGAAGGGACAGGAGAAAGCCAGGATGGGATAAAGGAAGGCTTTAAACTGAGATCAATGCTGGGAATAAGACCAACTGGCCTCCCTCTCCCTGAGGAAACTGGGAAACCCCAGAACACGGGGGACACCGCCCCCCTCAGCAGGGCCCTGTTACCTCCTCCATCCAAAGTCTCAGCTGATTCCTCAGCAGCTGCCTTGGAGGGGCTCCGAGGGACCCGGGGAGCTCTCTCAGATTCTGGGTCCATCTCAGATTCAGGGCCCAAGGTCTCCACAGGCAGGCTCTGGGGGCAGGGGTGCAAGCAGAAGGGATGCTCTAGAGGAAGGACAGCAGGACGAAGCCAAGAGCACGGGGTGCTCTCCTGGGGTGCCTGAGACCAGCCATAGTGTTCAGGGATCCCAGCCCACATCTTACAAATACATAATACATTCAGCAGTGGTTGCTCCAAAGTGGGGAGGGGGCACGGGTCAGCTGGCACTGTGACATCTCCGCTCAACACAATGTTCGGCCATTCCCTAACTTCACTTGCTGCTCTGAGGAACTTTCAGAGGCCAAATTTCTGTGAAATGAAGACGAACCCCTGAGGACTTTCCTGGTGGTCCAGTGGCTAAGACTCAGCGTTCCCAATGCAGGGGGCCAGGGTTTGTTTCCTGGTCAGGAAACTAGATCCCGCATGCCACAACTAAGACCCAGTACAGCCAAAAAAAAACAAGTAAATGTTATTTTTAAAGGAATCCTATATTTACAGGATTAGGTTAAAAATTAATTAACTTCAGCCTCCTGGTACTTGGTACAGGCTGTGTTCTTACACTGACAGTATAGAAACAGGAGTCAGAGTAAACCCACCCCACATACAGCCTGGGCAGGCACTCTGCCTGGTCTGTATGGTGAATCGGAGGACATGGAATTGAAAAACAAACAAAAAAAAAAGAGTTAAGTTATTCAATCGGACATTAAGCTAATTAAAAAAAAAAAAGTACCACTGGCCCAAGGCACTGGACCACTGAACAAACCTGGCACCCCACCACCTCCTCCCCAGAGAAGCCAGCTACAGCCTGGGTCTCCCTCCCCACAAGTGACCAACTCGGCAACTGGCAAGAGAACAAAGTCCCCTGGAGCCTAAGGATCACAGTCCCACCCCCACAGGCTTCCCCAGTTCTCCTCAAAAGGGGCCACCTGCTCCATCTTCCAAACTTTCCTGGCCTTTCCCGCTCCCTACACACCCCTCTCCCAGGAGCTAACGGAAGCCCACCTCACCCCAGCCACAGCCAGCCTGTCTCCCAGGGTGCTCTCAGCCCATCCGTCTACAGCCTCAGCCTCTCCTTTTTCTGCAAACGCCCCCTCAGCAGGCCCTCGGCCTGCTCATCCCATCCATGGCTCTCGCTAAACTTCCAAGAATAATTCTTGACCTTAATATGTTTCTTTACAGGATTCTTTTTTAAAAAAAGATTTTTTAATGTGTACCATTTTAAAAGTCTTTACTGAATTTGTTACAATACGGTTTCTGTCTTATGTTTGGGTTTTTTGGCCCCAAGGCATGTGGAAATCTCAGCTTCTGGAACAGGGATCTAACCTGTACCCGCCCCTGCGTTGGAAGGCAAAGTCTTAACCACTGGACCACCAAGGAAGTCTACAATTTTCAAGTCACCTTTTTCTCACAGTCCCTCCTACAAGGCAAGAAACACGACTCCGCCTCATTAAAGGTAGGACACCGAGGCGAAACAGCTGGTCCGAGTTCCCCCAGCTGTCTGCAAAGGCAGCCAGGGCTCTGGCTGGGAGCGCGGTGTCGTCCGCTCCGCCAACCAGCCCCAGCCCGTGGGTCCTGCTCCAGCATCTCACTGAGGGCAGCTCCCTCCCTCCCCATCAGTTTTCAAGGCCACCCAAACCCTAGTCTCTAACTCAAACTCCTCAGCTACCTCCCTCCCTGTGGGACGAACATACCAAGTCCTTGACAAACTCTCCTTGACAAACTCTCCAGCCACTCCATCCCCCATCCTGCCAGCCCCCTTCTCAGTGGCTTTGGGGCACAGAAGCCCACTGGGCTCTCATCCCACCAACTACAACCTGGACTGTAGGACCTTCAAAACGCTCTCCCCTGTTCCCACACAGCCCCCATAGTGGCTGCACCCTCTGCCCACCGCAGATGGTCCTGACCCCCTCCGGCTCAGAGCCCGCCCGCTATTCTCCATCAAGGGGAGGCCCGAATGCCTGAGCCAGGCCCTATAGGCCTCGTCCGGAGGCTCGCAGGCTCTGACCCAACCTCACTTCAGCACCATCTGGCCCATGTCTCCACCTCCTCCAACGGACCTCCTCAGTCTCCCCAGCACAGCTCCTCTACTTCTGCCTCAGGACCTTTGCTAATGCTGGTCACCCCCCCCCCAGAATTTCCCCTCTGCTTCTCATAGCTTACCCCAACAATTCCCTTCTTTCAAGTCACGGCCCAAGTTCCAACTCCTGACTCCTGGGGCCTGATCGTATTCTCCCTGCCCCTGGAGTTCCTCTCACAGCCGACAGGAGGTGACACGTGTGATCACCAGGAGCAAGGAAGGGGGACAGACCCAGAAAGTAGCCCAGCCCAGCCAGAACCCCCATTCCATATGGTTCCCAGGCCTGCTCTTCCTACCTCTGAGCCGGCAAGCACCCAGCTATTGTCTGAGTCTGGGCAGGAGGCCATCACCGCTGAGGTTCCCGCAGCTGCTGAGGCTGCCACCTGCAGAGAAAGGCTCTCTTAGGGACTCCAGCTCCCTTTGGGGGAGGTGGGATACAGACAGCAGCCTCAGCTGGGTTCCAAGTGTGAGGGCTGGCCAGTCACTTCCAGAATCAGCCCGGTTCCAGTCCTTCTGCCCCCAAGATCCGAATTCTTCTAGGCAGTATTTGCCTTGCAAATCAGAACCTACCAACAGCTGCAGTGAAGTTTGCCTTTCCCAGGGACTAAAAGAGCCCTTGGGAAACTGGGAAATAGAACTGACCTTGAAAGGTCAGAGAAGCACAGGGCTGGAAAAGCTCTGGGAAAAATCCAGGCCAACTCTCTCATGTTATAGTCAGGGAAAACGAAGGCCTGAAAACTGGCTGACTTGGCTTGCCAGCGATGAATAGTGAGAAGAGTGAGGAACAATCTGGCCCTCCCTTCACCTCCCCAGGCTCCATCACAATCCCACCTCCTCCCCCAGGGCCTGGAAGAGAAAAGTCGATGGTCTTCGTCAGCCACAAGTCTCCCACCAACCCATCACCCACCATTAAGTCCTCTGTATGGTTTAGTTTGGGGTCCTGTTCACTGGCTACACAATGGAATCAATCACCTAATGTTCTGATATAACTGAGTTCAAGGATCAGGCTCAGGCTCCGAACAATCTCCCAAATGAGCCTCACATGCAGCCAGGGTTGAGCGCAATGGCACAGCTTACATCCATCTGAATGTGCCTCTGGTAAATGTCCTTGTCACTCTCCATTCTTGTTTCCCTTCTTAGCAAACTCCAGCGTTTCATCTGAGGAAACTTGAAGGTGACTAGGAAAAGGGATTTGTGGCAACTACCATGTATACAGAAAGCACTTTACCATTTGCAACGCACGGACAATAACCAGGGTTGTGGTCCTATTTCCTGCTAATCTGCTCTGACATGGTGGAGTAGGGGTGGGAAATCACTCCAGCTTCAAAAGCCTGACACAAAGCAGGATAAGAAGAGAAGGACCTACCCCTCCCTCCGTGACCAACATTATCGCTCCAGGCTGGCAACCGGGACCTGGCATAAAGCTGAGGAGGAGATGAGCTGAGCCCCTGGACTGTGATCCTTTAGAGGCTACATGACTGCTTGCTGAGGGGCTAGAAGGATGGTAAGTGGAAAAGGATCCTGAAAGGAAATCCTGGGGAGAGGAAGTAAGGCTGGGGAAGAAGCGAGGCAGTTCTACTTTGGGAAACCACTACACTTCCCCCTTTCAGCAGGACACACGGTGGGAGTCCTACACAGTGCCTCCCAGAGACAGGCACTCATCCCACAAGGAGATAGAAGAAAGGCTGCAATGACTTCCCCACACCACAGTCCAGCAGGACACCCCTGGCCAGCTTCTACGGCATCCACAGAACCATTACTGTGCTGCCTTCTGGTCTCAGGCCCCACCCTCGCTACTCTGTCATCACCTCCCCATCCCCAGTTGCTGCATGTGACTCTTAACAGGTGGCAGCAGGAAGGAAGTGGCAGCAGCTTGGGCTGAAGTCCCTGTTTACCCCTGGCTGTGTATAGCCTGCTCAGGTCCTCCAGAAGCAGGCACTATGGCAACCAGGGTGATGTCAGACCGACTGTCTCCATAGAAGCCAGAAATGGTATTTGGGTCAACAAGACACACACTCCTGAGACCCAAACAGAATACAGTCCGGAACCTCTGCACTCAGGGTTCCAAACCCTGGTTGGTACCTCTCTCTTGGCTGGATTCACTGAAGATCCCATAAGTTCTCCCTGTTCCCCCCAGGCCAGCATCTCACTGCCTTGTTAGGAAGTTCTTTCTGCTGTCTAATTCCCACCCTTCCCTGCTGCTTTCAGATCTCTTTCTTCTCATCAACCTCTTGGAAGAACACCCACCTCCACCCCCTCCTCACTACTCCCTCTCCCTTTTTCAGGCAAGATTCAACAAAAACATCCTGTAAGGATTGTCAGGGACTTGTGCTATTTCCAAAAGACAGCTAAAGGGGGAGCTCTGCCACTGGGAAAGTTTCGTCCAGCTAATTTCAACCCCTCTAAGAGCTGTTCCCCCAAACCTCTAAAATAAAGCACCCAGGGCTACAAAAACTTGTCGGGGAGACCCAGAGCAAGTTCCTGTTTTGGAAACGGCCCATGATCCCCCCTCCCTCCCGGCCCAGAAGTCACAAACAGCTCTATCGATCCTGGGTGGAGCTCAACCCGTCAACGTTCTACCCTTCCTCTCCTCTATCCTTGCTCTCCTGGGGACCTCTGCTGCCCCTGCCCCGCTAGGGCATTACCTGACCCAGCTCTTGCTTCAGTCTTCAGCTGAACTTGTTGCTGCCTCTCCGGCTCTTGCAGCCACAAGAAAGGAAGGTCACGTGACTGAGAGCTGACCAATGGAAAGTCGACTTCCCTGAGGGGGCGGAAACTTTTGGCCAATAACAGCTAGACTTGAGAGCCGCGGGGGTGCGGGGCGCCTGCAGAACCCCTAAACCTGGGCTTACCTCCCGGAGGGACACTGGGGTTCCAGCAAACTCAACTGGGGGTCACCTCCCCTCCTTTTCCAGTGGCTAAACAATTCCTGATGGGAAGACCCAGAACTGAAAGGCAAGGGGGTGGCATGTCCAGGACAAGGAGCCAGGTTGGTCCCAGGATAGACGAGAGACAGCTGCATGATGGGGGAGGAGAGTGGCGAAGTGTGGGTTGTCCCTATCCTCATGCTGGCGCTGATTGTTTCAGGATGCCACTATTCTGTTCCTAAAGGGGGCGGTAGGTGAGGGGCTTTAAAGCATCCTAAGATGCAATCCACTAGACCAGGGCAGCCCCTTCCCCCACCCCTGGAGCTACACATGACCCCCTAACTCAGGAGTGGGAGCGGGGCATTACACCGAGAAGCACTAATGGCAACTGTCACCCTGAAGCCTTGGAGCCGAAGATCCTGCTTGGCTTTAGGCCTGGCCCAGGAATGTGCTCAGAAAGGAAACTTGTTTCTCACAGCAGGGAAACAGGGAGAGGTGGGGCAAAGACGCCTCCCCAGGCTCCACAGCTTGTATTAGGTCAGGTCAGGGGCTTGACTCTTCCTGCCATCGCCACTTCCAGAGACCCTGGGGGTTCCCTGTCCTCACCCCCCCAACCATCCTCACAAACAGTGACTGACTCATTCCAACCTTGTGCACACCAACACCAAGGAGTCCAGCTGTGGATCTTCCAAGTCATTTTATTAATCCAACCGTACAAAACTTTCCCCACCACATCTCTGCCGCCCCCACTTTCTTCCAAAAAAGCAGTGGCATGAGAGGGAGGGATTGACCAGACACCCCCACCCCCAATCCCTGGCCAGGAGCCATCTTACAAAATGCAGGGCGGGTGGGGGGTGGGAGACCACAAAAACATCAACAGATAAAAAGAGGGGCAAACAGAACCACAAACACAACACAAAGCTGAGCAGTGAGGGGGTTGCCATCTCTGCTGCTGGATGGCAGAAACACTGGAAAAGAGAAGCCCAGAGGCCACTCCCTTCTTTCACACAGCCTGGAAGGCTGCATGCTCCACCCGGGGAAGGCAAGAGTTCTGCAGTACACCTGTCTTCTCTTCACATGTGTAAGGTCCCAGGAGAAGTGGGGGCAGTGCCACACCCCTAGCCTGCCTTCCCTCCCCAACTTGAGGAACGTGTGCAGGAGCTGCAGGGAAGAGCGTGCAGCTACGAGGGGCTCCTTATGGGGCCCCAGGCCCATCTCTGGCAGGCAGTGCTTAAAACATAAAAAATAACGCCCTGGCACGGATTTTGGCTGAGAAGGATGAGAAGAGCCCGATCACCAGGCCAGAGAAGATAGAACAGCAGGAAGAGAGGGGAGCAAAAACATCCAGGCTCGGGACTGCATTCTAGTACCGCAGCAATGAGGCTCCTGCAGACTCCCCACCCACAGGCTCTGACAGGGATCCTTTCATCAGGAGAAAAAATGAGGTATAAGGGCTCTGCGCCTTTTCAAGCTTTCCTTCCAGCAAGGCAGGGAACTCGAGGCCAGAAGTTGAAGACCAGCGCTTAGGTGGGGAGGAGGGGTATACAACCACAGAATCTGGGCTTCCAGGACAGTCTGAATGTCAAATATTCTGGTCTCTCAGACCACACATCCCAATTTTTGGCAAAAATATGGTCATTAGGGAAAAAGCACAAGAGGCTGAGAAAGGACCAGTGACTTTGGTATGAGGGAGATATGTCCTGACAGCATCTTACCTACTGTCTCCAAGCCCCAGATCACCAAGAACTGCCATAGCCACGTACTATCCTGCTTCTTCAAGCTATTTGGTTTCTGAAGGGGGACGAGTTGGACAGGTGAAGGAGACAAGGGGAAGGTAGGAAAAGGGGAAAATCTCCATTTATTCCCTAAAGCTATCTCCCAGAGCCCATGAAAGGGCTACCGCAGAGATGGGAAGAGACCCCAACTCTCCTGGCCAGAAACCTTTAATACTGGACTCCAAACACTAAGGCTGGAGCTGTGGAGCTAGAGAGACATGTTAGGCACAGGTGTTGGGGGCATCCATCATCTGTAGAGGGGACACCCCTGCCCTTTGGATCTTCTCCAGCCTCTTTCCTCTTGCAGCCATACCCCTGGCTTTCCAGAGATAGCCACCAAAAGTGGCTCTGCTTGGCAGGGCTTTGGTTTCCTGAACCTGTGTAGATCTCAATGCGTAAGTTTCCACAAGAGTGAGAGATACAGGCTCTTCTGCCTGCCCACCTCAGTTCCTTTTTCTGCCCCGAGGAGCCACTGGGTTTCTGCCCCATGGGGATGGGAAGCCGATGGAAACCAGGACCAAGAGCCACACAAGAAGGCAATCACCCTGGAAGAGCAGGGAGGAACATGTGCACTTCCCTGGGCCCCTCGCCAGCATCACCCATCGTTAGCGGCCACCAGCTGCCCCATGCCCTCGCGGATGTAGACAGACTGAATCTCCTTGGTCTTGAGGCAGAGATCGCAGGCCCAGACAGCAGAGGCCTCGGTGGTCAGCAGCCCATAGGCGCTCTCAGTCATGCCCGTGCACTCACGGTGGAACCACTTCTGGCAGGAGGCCTCACACAGAATGGCATCTTGGTCGTCATTCACCTCGCTCCGACAGGCACCACATGGATACACCAGGCCTGGGGGAGGCTGGGGTCCTGAGCCCCCACCTGCCTTTCCAGGGGGTGCCAGGCTATTGGCATCTGGAGTGCCCCCACCCCGCCCACTGCTGTTTGGAGGAAAACTGGGCTGATTCCCATTAACAGCAGCAGCCGGGGAGCCCGAGTGGGGCTCCTGGGGAAAAGCAGTGGGCGCAGGGGGATTTAGAGGCTTCCCCCCATCCTCACCGCCAGGGCCAGGAAAGCCAGGGTCCGGACCAGGGAAGGGACTTGTGTTGGGAGGCAAGCTGGGGAGCCCCTGACCAGGTCTCTGGAGAGAAGGGCCAAAAGGGGCCCCTGGCTGGGCAAAGCGTTGGGGGAGAGAAGGGGGGCCCAGCTCCCCTCTGGGAGGTTGTCCCATGGTGGGTGAGATCATGGGGCCAAATCCCCCCACTGGGCCTGGCATCATCTGCCCACCAGGCGGGCTAAAGTTCTGACCCAGAGGCTGGTTGAAGGGTTGGCTGGGAAAATTCATGTTACCTGGGGGTGGATAGCCAGGGCCCTGGGGGGGCATGTTGAAAGCAGGGCCCATGGGGCTGGGAGGGAAAGGGGGTGGCTGTCGACGAAGAGGCTGAGGACCTCCTCCACCCCCAGTACCATATCCTGGGGGTACCTGGCCTGCCATGCCCCCCTGGACACGGAAGCCCCCAAAGGGGACGGGACTGCCAAGGAATGGAGGGGCTGCGCCCCCCACCTTAGGGGCTCCGAAGTCATCCTCAAAAGGGTTGGATGCAACCAGGTGATCCACCATGGGAGTTGGGGGTGGTGCAAACTCCGTCAGGTGCGAGTACGCAGGGCCCTGGGGAAAAAGATGAGGGAAAGAGGATCATGGAGGGAGACCCAGAGCTAAACCAAGAGAGCACCAGAAACACAGTACACAATTTTAGACGCTGGTACCAGCCAGTTCAGATGGATCTTAGAGTGCAACAACAAAACAGAATGGAGAGCACAAGCAACACGGTGCAGTCACTGTTTTGAAAACAGGCAGAACTACTGGAATCCTAGTTCTGACACTGAGTAACCTCAAAGCCCTGGAGCAGGCATGGAACATAGTTAAGCCTCAGGTTTCTCATCTGTAAAACTGTGACAATGCCTATCTCCCAAAACTGTTGAAGCCTTTTAGCACAATCCCTGGTACTTAGAAAAGGTTCAGCAACTGATAGCTGTTATCATCGTGGGGGAACCGGACCAGGACAAAAAGGGGAGAGGACGACTCTAATCCCCGCCGATAAAATCTCTGGTCAAATCACCACTCCCCACCCTACTCCCAAAATGTTATAAAGCTGAAAGAAAGGACCAGAAAAGGAATAAGACAACTTTCTCTTCTCCCTGCAGCTGATGCAAGATGAAGACATCGGGGTGGCAGAACAGAGAACCCGAAGGGGCTACCAGAAATTACCCCCACAACCAACCACCATTCACCTGAGTATTTGACTTCCTTCGCTTCTTTTCTGGGCTCTTCATTTGCAGACCTGGAAAGGCAGTAAAAGGCAGACACAAACAAGTTTCCCTGAGGTTTCCCCAACATCCTTTCTCCCAACCATGATCTAGGAGACTCTCCTAACTTCAATATACTCTTGTTTACTTACTTAGTATCTACTTTGTTAGATACTAACAAAGGTACACTATGAAGAATAAATGGGATGCTACACTCTCGGCTGCCTTTTCCTTTAAATGAGAGACGCCCCCATCTCTTGATAGCCTCAGACTCCCAAGTGGCTCCTCATTCCAGGTGCCCCAAACTCTAGGATCGGCAGTCAGTGACCCTCGTCCCCAACTCCTGGAGGGCTTCACCCATCTATCCTTTCCACTGAGCCTCCCCTCTTCAGGGCCCTCAGCCTGAGAACCGCCACCTCCCCAGCCCACCAGCCCTCCCTCCAAGGTCCCAGAGTTCTGAGCCTCGCCAGCCCCAGCCCCCTCCGCGTTCTTACCGGCCTTGCCCTGTTTTCTCCCGGTGCTGGGCGGCGCAGGGGGCGGTGCGGGGCCGCCACCTCCCTCCAGCTTGTCCGGTGGGGGCGGCGCCGAGGCGGCCATGGAGTGGGGGACCCGGGTCAGCAGCGGCGGGGGACGGACGCGCCCTCGGGTTGCACCATGGCCCAGAAGGGAAGGCAGGGGCGGCGCAGGCCCCCGCGCAGCAGCAAACCCGAGGTGCGGCGAGGCGAGGGTGCCGAGCCGCGGCGCCAACTGCACGCTGGCCCGGCCTCACCGCCCGCCAGCGGCCGCAGCCACAGGAAGCGGAATTCGGCGTGGCAGCCACCACTGCGCTCGGCGAGGAGGGGGAGCGAGGCCCAGGCCAGACCCTCCCCCGAGCGCTGGGCGGGCTGGGCCGTACCAAAGTGCAAGCCTGGGGGAGGCCGTCTCCAGCCCGGGAGCGCGGCTTGCCGGCTCGCTAGGGGAGACGGCAGCCGAAGCCCTGCGGCTGGCCCGTACCATCCCGGGCCGAGGGGCCCCCGCAGGGGTGCACGCTGGCCCGAGCCGCCTGGGGTCATGCTGTCCGCGATCCCACCCCGCCTCGGTCCCCGCTGCAGACACGAACATCCCCTGGGATGGTGGCCCCGCACGCCCCACCGCGCCGCACCCTCCTACGCGAATCCCTAAGTTCTCACTCGAGCCCGACCCAAGCGAGTCCAGGTGAGGCCGAGGCCGAGTCCGGCCTCCCGCCTCCCCTCCTGCCGTGGGGGGCGCCCAGAGCCAACAATAAGCTGAGACAGAGATCTAGAGGCCGAGGTAGAAGAAATATGGACTTTAATGATTCTTTCCCTTTGGTATAAGTGAGACCCGTGAAAACATCCAAACAAAAAGAAAAGAAAAAAAGGGAGGCGAGGATTTAGATAGTCCACTCTCCCTTATCTACAAGGCCTAAAGACAGAGCAGGACCGGCTCCTCTGTTGCTGCTGCAGGGAGTGGCCTGGAGAAGGGAGAAGGGATTCAATAACCGTGACCCCGTGACCCCCCCGCCTCTTGTGAAACTAACAGCCAAACTTCTGCCTCCCCACCTCACGGTGGGAGAGCCAAGTTTCTCGAGTCCTAGCTTACACTCCACTTCTCTGGGTCTCTCTGGTAGAAAAGATAATGCTACCGGTTCCAACTGCCCCACAGGTCGGGGTGAGGAAAATGCCAATAGTCGTAAAAGGGCTTTGAAAAAGTCAAAGAGGTGATGTATAAATTTCATCGATTATTATCATTTTGTGCTCAGGAATAAGCTATGGAAAACAAATTAGGAAAGTAAATCTACAGCCCTAAAATATACGCATATAAAATAAAAAACGCAGTTCCAAACCTACCGATGGTATCTGGGGATTGTCTACTGCTTTAAAGTCTCAATGCCCCTGTTCCCACCTCTACAAAATCCTGCTGGGATGACAGCTCCGTCATCCCCCCACCACCCCTGCAGGGGGTTGGCAGGACAGAGGCCAGGAGGAAGGGCTGTACTTTGGCTGTAGAGTGTAACATGCATGCAACATGGGAGGGGTGGGCTTACGAAATGTATATACAGAGCCCTGGGTGAGGGGCCCCGGCCAGGAGGCACTGAGCAAGGGAGGGGCCCATCTCCCCCCTGGCTGAGAGCGGGGCTCTGAGGCAGTCTCTAAGGGCTGCATATCCCAGGAAGAGGGGCAGCTGCTACTCCTGCCTCGGTTTGCCCCACCTGAACTCGAGGAGGTGCTGAGCAAGGACAGGATGGGGTCCCAGAAGCCAAGAAGCTGTCAGCACCCCCATCCTTGACTTCAGGGGCCCAAGAACTCTTTGCATAAAATATCTTCAGACCTAGGAGATGGTCAAAGGCACAAAGTTTAAACGCTGGGAGGGAGGGTTGTTGAGAGGAGTCTGGGGTACCCTGAGCCCAGGGGTAGACGAAAGGTATGATTCAGTTCCCCTTCCCTGGAAGGGTGATTGCTCCGCAGGGCCTATCACCACAGAACATCTTCCATCACCAGGAGGCATCCTGCCCAGGCCTCCAGCACCCACCTTGGGGAAGGGGGTATCAAGTTGGCACGGGAAAGGCCCAGGGAAGGAGGCCACTCTGTACATTAATACTTTGGTGAGGTCTGGGGAGAAGCAGGACTCCACCCCTGGTTCCTGACTCAAACCCTCTCACTCAGCTGCATGCTGAACCCGGTGTCCACAGTATCCCCAGTCCTACACAAGGCCAAGCCCAGGAACACTCCCAAGTGAGGTCTAAGAGTCAGGGAATAGGGTGGAAGGGACCGCAGGGCATCTTCTGAGAGAGAGCACTGGGACAGGTCACAGTTTCCGCTCCACAGGCTGCTGGAGACACAGTTCGCTGCCCGCAGAGATGATGGGCAAGTGATTGTCCATGTGGTAGCTGATGAGGTGACTGACACTTTCAAAGCGGTGATCCTTTGTCCGAACCTGGGGAGTGGGAAGGGAGAAGGTCAATTCGGGTGAAGAGTCAGATAAAGCCTATTTCCAAGGCCAAGGAAGCTGGGATATTCAAGAGGGTTGAGGCAGGAGAAAAAAGATGGCAGCAGAGGAAGGGCCCTCGGTCCTGATCATTGAGGCTTCTCCAGAAAGAGAAGCTGGAGACAGCTGTGGGAATGGGCAAGTCAGTGAACTGGGAAAAGGCAGAACAGACATCAGCCCAGAAGCCGTGAAACTGAAGTCTAGCTACTCCTTCCTTGACCTGGTGGAAGGTGATATGTCTCAGAAGAGGATACATAGTACAAAAAGAGACATGCAAAGGAGGCTGAGATTGCTGTAGAAACAAGACCAAAGTTATGAGGGGCAGGAGGCAGTGCAGACAGGAGACAGGACTCTGGTCTGATCCCTGAGTCTGGAGGAGCTGGGGAGGCCCCTGGCTCATCTTGTGAAAAGTTTTGGGATATTTAGCCTCTAGACATCTGACAAAGAGCACTACAACTTCTGAAGGATGGTTTCCTTATTTGTCAAAAGAGGGACTAGTGAGATGACCACTTTCTAGCTCTCGAGGGCATAAGGTTTGGGGACTGGAAAGGACTGAAGGGAATACAGCTCAGGTGAGGGATGTGAGAAGGGAAGGAACCCTAAACCACTAGACGAGGGAGATGCCAGACACCTTGAGAACAGGGTAGGCCCAGACAGAGGTGCCCAGCAGACAAAAGTCTAGGAAGCAGTGAGGCAGGAATAGAGCCTCAGGTAGGATACTGGACCTTCCTTTCTGCCGTGCCCACCTACACCCCTGCCACACTCACCACACCCTCAGGGTCCACCAGGAGCAGGTGCTTGGGCTGCCCACTCTGCAGGCCGGTGAGCACGTACTGGCCCGGCGTGGTCGTGCTTTCCCGCACCAGGAAGTCCCCGTTGACTTGTAGCAGTGCCTCGGCCTCCCGCCGGCTCAGCTTCCCGTGGAACCAGGGCTCCCCTCGGAGCTGCTCAGCCATGGCTGTTGACTGGGGAGGTGGAGGCATTCGCAAGGCATCTTCAAAGGGCTCTGGGGATACAGAGAGAGGGCTAGGAGAGGCAGCTGACACAACCCTATGCTCAGGACCCAGGCCTTTAGGGAGGGGCGGCCAGGAAGGAAAGAGCAGAGAGGCAGGAGAAGAGGAGGAACCAAGTGGGAAGATGGAGACACAGAAAGGCGACAGGCATACTCACTCATGTCAAAGAGGTCTCGGGGTGCACTGCCGTTGATGGCAGGATTGGGGGGCCCGGCCCCAGCCCCTGCTTGCCGGGCCTTGTCCAGGTTCTGGACGTTGACATAGGAGGGGTCATCAAAGAGCTCTCTACCTGCTGAGGAAACGGAGGCTTTAGAGTGCCGCCCCCCGCCCCCCGCCCCTCAGTCCCTGCTCTGCCCCCTCAGTTCCCTTCATACCTGAGCAGGGTGGTGGCGGCGGCATCTGTTTGCGGGCTTCTGGGTCTCCCCCAGCAGGCTGCCCCACAGGCTGAAGGGACCAAGACAGAGTGAGGCCAGAGGCCCTAACCAGCTGCTCCCATCCAAGCCCCGCCCGCCTCCGTCCGAGCAACTTACCAGCGTGGCTCCCAGGTGGCTGGGGGTCTGGGCACTGGGTGGAGTGGGTCGAGCAGCCCCTGGGAGGGCTCCTTCCCGAAGCCTCATGTCCACCACACCCCCAAGGGGTGGTTCCTTCCCCGGGAAGTCATTATAGTACTGATGGTCAGGGGGCTCTTCCTCCTCCTCATCCCAAGCTGAGCCATCAAAGCCAGCCATCCTGAGAGAGACAGGAGAGAGAAAGGAGCATGGATGGGAGGACGGAGGGAGATCACAACAGCGGTCACGTATTGGGCATTCCCTGAGGGGTAGGCCTGAGGCTGGGTGTTTCATATATAATCATTTCATTCTCTGGAAAACTGATAAAGCAGATACTGCTTCCTTCTCCAGTTTTTTAGGTGAGGAAAATGATCATCAGGGATAAAAAGATTTTGGTCACACAACTAAGAAATGGTCGAATGGCATCACCGACTCGATGGATATGAGTTTGAGCAAACTTCGGGAGATAGTGAAGGACAGGGAAGCCTGGCGTGCTGCAGTCCATGGGGGTCACAAAGAGCTGGACACAACTTAGCAACTGAACAAGCACTACTACTGGTGGAGCAGAACGTCAATTCAGATTTGGCCTTAACATCATGCCCTTGGTCGTCATGCGGTCTCCTAAGAGGGAGCGGGAACACCAAGTACCAGGGAGGGGGTGCTCCAGAATATTCTAACACCTCCTCTAAACACTCAACCTTACTGGTCTGAGGTGGGAAATGTGACCATCTCAGGAAAGAGCCATCCTCCCTCACCCAAATTCTTGATGGCTTCTAGAGGCAAGAACGTGAAGAACTAAACTACATACGGAGAGAAGCACAAAAGGACAGACCAGAAACAAGACGGCTGGGAAAAGAGAAGCCCATCTAGCCAGGGAAGAGCTGGACGTCCTGCACTGCAGCTCCGCCACGGGCACCCGACGGGAAGAGCTGGCCCTGCAGCGGGCAGGGCCACGGAACACCTTCCTGCCGGCCACAGGAAACTTAAGAATAGCAGGAAGCAGGGGCACTCAGGTTATTTCCTTCCCTGCCCTTTTCTGAGCTGGAGTGTGGGAAGAGCAGGCCTCCTTTTCCAGTTCTGGTCTGGGGCCCCCGGGAGCGGGCTGCCCACCCCCCTACCCGCCTCGCCCACGCACCTGTCATGGGGGGTAACGAGCCTGGGCGGGTTCCTGAGGTACTGTTTGAAGCGCAGCTCGAAGGCCTGGCCGATGGTGCTGATGACGTCCTGAGCGAGCCCTTCGGGACACTCCAGGATGTGGCAGGCTGGGGGCGCAGCAGAGGCTATTAGGGAGCTGGGCGGCGGGGGGACTGTGTGGCTGGGAGGAGGCGCAGACGGGGCCCTCGGCCTCTGTCCTTGGCATGAGGGTCGCCCGGGTCCTGCTCACCTGCCCCTTGGATAGCCAGCCCCACCCAGTGCTCCCCATTCACACCTCACCTCTCTGATTCACCGGGTCTTTGGCAACATAGGCGACATACTCGGCTGTGTCCTGGGGTGGAGAGAGTCAGAAGAGGCCAGTTAGCTAAACTGTACAGCCCCACACCACTCCTGACCCCTTCAAGCCCAGTCTTTCTCAGACACTGCCTCAGTCCTAGCAGGCTTGCTTCTCTTGCCAGTGTCCTCCCAATCCCTAGCTCCTTACTTTCCTCCCACCACCTGAGCTCCATTCCCCAACTCACCGGGTCCCCGCCGGATGCAAACGAGATGGACTGCATGTGGTGGTTGGCGATGATCTGAGGGTTAGGGCAGAGGATGCAGAAGGAAGGGAATGATGGGCATCAGGCAGCCTCAGGGTCCACTGGGCACCGCCCACCACTGGCCCAAGACCCTGGCGTCCCAGTCTCATCCTTCTGGCTTCTAAACGCATGTTCTCCTCATCTCCTCCTTCCCTACTGGTCTACTGCTCCCAAGCCTTCTCTCCCAGTGTCTTACCCTCATAACCAAGTTCTCGTTTAGCCTTCCCATCGATGTTTCTGCCCACCCCCCTGCCGCCTCACCCCACCAACCTGTTTGCAGTCTGCGGCCATGAGGTTGAGGCTGCTGGTGGAGACGGTCAGAGTGATTGGCATTCCAGCAAATTTCAGGTTACTCCTCCCCAGAATGGAGCTGAGTGGACGGCTACAGGGCTAGGGAAGGGCCCAAGGGTCTCAGAAGCTGGGGGGTCCCCCACACCAGGAAACCCCCACACTCCTGCCTTCTGGACTTCTCCCCACCTGCCCCATACTAGCCTTCCCCCTGCTCCTCCACATCTCCCAGCACCCCTAGCCCCACCGACCCCAGGTACCTTTCTCCTCCTTGTTGCCCCCTTAGCACCCGGCACAGCCTCACACACCAGACTGATGGCCTCCCTGGGGAAAGAGGGATACTCAGACCCAGAGCCTGCCTCCCACTCGGCTGGGGTTGCCACAGGGCTGGGGGAGGGGAAGGCCAGGCCAGACTCCAGGGACACTCCAGGCTCTTTGTCGTGGTGGATTGAATTAAGGGCCTTTAATATTTGATGACACTGAGAGGCCGCTTCCTGGCTGATTGGGTTAGGGCCTCAATGGGTCTGGCCCCACCCCCTTCCAGCTACCAAATGTCCCATCCCCTTCCCAAAGGCAGCAGCAACCTTTCATCTACCCCCATTTTCCACTCCAGCTCTAGCTGCCAGCTGCCTCTGCCACCTCCCCCACAACTCCCGGGGCTGGATAATAAGGAGGAGCCAGGTCAGAGTTGCCCCTTTACATTAAGACTTGGACTCACTTCCCTAACTTCCTCTCAACCCCCTTTACCACCCAAAGATAAGCCATCACTAGCACCACCACCAAGTGACCCACTCTCCCCACCCCTCGTGAATCCTGGGACTGCCACCCTCCTCCCCCAACCCCCACTAACCTGGTGACCTGAGTCCGGGTGTTGAAGTCGAGGGCGCGCATTGACTGCAGGACCTCCACACAGCCCATGTACTGAGGGGAGGGACAGGACACCGGTAAGCCACCTCCCCCACCTCTTCACAAAGGGCCCTAGGACTTCTCCTTCCCTGGTCCCTCAGGGAAGTAAAGATGAAGAAGTTCTGCCCACTGCCCATGGCTGTATCCCACAACATGCAGGACAAGAGGGGCAAAGAGAGGAGGGCAAGCAGGCAGACCTCATGCCTGTGGGAAGAGAATCTGGGAGGAGTGATGGGCACTGGGTGGGATGGAGTGACTCTCCAGAACGCGGGGAGGAGACCGGAGGGGACAGTCAAGAGTCACTCATGCTGACACTGACTAAGGGCTTGTGCTGGGCTTTGTGCTAAGCCTGGCGGGGTGGGGGTAGGGGAGTCACAAGAAGGAAGGGGCCCCAGACAGAGCTGGAAGGGAAGAGGCGAGAGAATTGGAGAAGGGGCAAGAAAGGTTTAAGAAACAGGACACCAGAACCAAGGGAGTGCTGGGGAAGAGCAGGGGAGAGAGATTAGTAAGCAGAGGAACTGGAGAGGTCTGCGAGGGAGTGGGAGGGAGGATGTTCACTCACCCGAACCAAGTAGGAAACCCCGGGTCCCATGACTTTGTCGTTGGGATGCAGCCAGCCCCGGGTGGGCTTATTGACAAAGCTCCCGTGGCGAGTCCACTCCTCGCCCCCCAGCTGGCCCCCTTCCACCCGAGTCCTGCGCCCGCCGCCTCCACTCAGCTTGTTCATGTCCTGGAGGAGGGGCAGGGGGCCTGAGTCCAGCATGGCTGCCCCTACAATCCCCTCCCCATCCTCGTTTGCCCTTCCTGGCTCCCCCTTCAGCCCCGGGCGCCCCCCAGCTGGGTTGGCCAGCTTCAGGTTGCTCATCCGGGGGAAGAAGGAGCACAGGGTAGTGGGACTGTCGTCCCCAGGCAAAGGTGGTAGCATGGGCCCCAAGGATGAGGCTGATGGGGATGGCAGCTCCTCCGGTGGGGTGGACCCTGAAGCCCCCTCCTCCAGCGATGACAGAGACTCATTCCGAAGTGGGTTGTACTTGGGCTTGGGGGGCAGGAGATCCATGGCTGGAGTGAGAGGGAGGCTGCAGCCCAGCCTGGCCCCCCTGCCAGTCAGGGCAAGGGGGCCAGGCAGGGGGCATCCCAGGCCCTTAGCCTGATCGGACCTCTATGGCCCAGGGATCTCAAGGGTCCTGGGGAGGGAGAGGGACAAGTAGCTCTGGCTTCCCCAGCTCAGACCCAGACAATTTCAGGCCCCATCCCCGCCCAGTGTGGAGCCTCTTCTCAGGCTGAGAGGAGAACAGGCTGGACCTAGAGCTGCCTGGCTCCTCCCCAGGGGCGGGGAGCTAAGGGGAGAGACCAATCCCGAGGACAGTGCTGACTCACAGGCTCTGAGGGGCTGAGCCCCCAACACTGCCCCAACCCAGAACTCTCGCTGCCTGCCGGGCAGAGCGATCCATGCCCCCCAGCCAGATCCCCCCACCCAACCGTACAAACAAGTAATTGGGGGAGGAGTAAAGTGGGAGTGGGAGGGAAGGATGGAGGAGTGAGGAGGAAAGGAGGGCGATAAGAGGAGGTCTGGATCAATCCAGACCGGACAGGGCAGGCCAAAGGGAGCAGGAAGCTGAGGGAGGGCAGTGGGGGATGGGGGGTAGGCTGAGGGAGGAAACAGAGGCAGCTGGGGGTGGGAAAGGGAGGGGATCCCTGAGCTCAGCAATTCCCTTCCTGTCCTGGTTGAACACTCAAATTCCCTCAGCCTCCAGCCCCAGCCACCCCCCACCACTGCCCCACAAAGGGGTGGTGGCCCCAGGGAGCCTGGGCCATTAGCCTCCTTGGCTATCACAGCTGTGGAAGGAGCTAAAGAAATGGGAAAAGGAAGGACATGGTCCCAGTGGATGCAGGGAGGGGCCAAGAGGAAAGGCAAAGCTGTTAAAGTAAGAGGAATAAAGTCCAACCTGGGTGGCACGTCAGGGAACCACCAGACAGGAGCTGGAGCAGAGGACAGTTTGGTGGAGGCTTGTTCTCCGTGCATGGCGCCTACCATGCCAAGGAGCAGAGGCCCAAGCCAAGTACTCTTCTGCCCCCCTCTTTTACGGCAAATAAGCTGTCAAGGGTAGAAGGGGTGGGGGGTGGCCAGGGCATTGACACTAAGGTCAGATCCCTAGACCTGCAGGTGAACACATACCCCTCCTGTTTAGTAGTGACCAGGGAAAGTGCAGGTATCCACCACGGAGCATGATGCCCCTCATACCAAGGGCAGAGTCTGGCCGGAGGAGATGGGGCAGTGCAACAGTTCTCCAAGAGAAGTGGCCAGGAAGGGACAGAGGGGCAGAAGACAAATCTGTGCTCATGAGAAAGGGGTGCCAGAAGAGGACTGAGGCTGGACACAGGGAACAGTCCCAAAGTCATTCCTTCCACCCACAGCATCCTGCCACAGCTCTGCTCCAGGGGGCCACAGAGGAAGTTAGAAAGCAACCAAAAAAGAGTAGTAGTAAAAGACACATATACCCTCACCAGGCTCACCTCGGAATTGCCTATCTTTAAATTTACTTTAGAATATTTTTAAAAATGCAAATTATCGTGATTACAGTGACTAACAACCCTGACAATTAAAACATGTTAGATACTGTGCTTATTATCACCGCCCCCATAGTCCTCAATCCAGGAGAGCTTTACCACTCCATGCACCACTCCTGAGAAGAAAATCTATCACTCTGTTTCCTAAGGCCTCAGAACTCAGAAACAGAATGAGGAAAGTATTCTGCCAAAGCCTCACCGCCCCCCCCCCAACACACACATACAAACACACACCAGGATATCCTCATCTTTAGAGGTGGGCATTCTGCGGGTGCCTGCAGAATCCAGAGACAAGGAATGACCAACAGGTGCGGGCATGGTTAGAAAAGAGAGAGGAAGTAGGGCTTTTTAAATTTACAGAGGAAGAAAGGAGATTGCAACTGGGAATCTGAACGACTGGGTGTGGGGAAGAAGTTGCATGGGGCTTCTCAGCCCAGCAGGGAGGAGGAGGCAAGATAGGCGGAAAGTAGCAGGAAATGGCGAAAGCCTCAGGAATGTTTCCAGCAGGGAAGGCTGGGCAAGCAGGACCAGGAGAAATGCCCAGACTAGAACTCTGTTTGGGGGAGGGGAAGAGCCAGAGAAGTGGTAGGGCCTGAAGAGTCCCTTAAAAAAAAAAAAAATCAAACAGCAAAACGGACACTGTTACCTACACCCATTCCAAGCCACCGTCTTCAGGTGGTTGAAAACTTTCTCTTCTGTCACACCCACATGTCACACATCGACAAATTCACGGCCCTACCCAGCTCCCGTCGTACAGGTATGAGACAAACAGCTGTTTCTGGGGTGGAGTCGGTCCTGGGAAGGGAAACTCAGGGAGTGGGGCAGGGAATCTATGAGCAAGTCTCCCTCCCACTCTCGTGCCAAACCCCAAGTCCAGCCCCCTTCAAGTAGGTCCACCCTTGGAACGGGCTAAGGGAGAGGAAAAGGGCTGCCTCTAATCTCTTACTCCTCAGAGTCAGAGATGGGAACTTTTGACTTCCTACCCAGTTTGAGCCTAAGAGCTCAGGAAAACTAAGCCAAGGGCCCCAAAGAGAAAAGGAACGAGGAAGCGCAAGCAGGTGAAGTTTCTGGGATTGAAGACAAAGCTCCTGAGGCGATGACAAGGGTCCAACCGGGATAACGCTCCTGAAGGGGCGTGGCCCCTCAAGACGCGTGCACCGGAGACTCCCAGGAGGCGAGGCTTCTGGACGATCCGACGTGGATTAAGGAAGGGGAGAGGCTTCTAAAGGGGCGGAGCCCTTAGGGAGGCGTGGCCTCACGAATTCGAATAGTTCTTTGAGTAGCAGGGTTCTGCCCTTTTGGGAGCTAGGCTTTTGACAGACAGGGGTTAGCGGAGAATCGTCTCGAGGAGGCGGGGTTTCGGGGAATCGGAAGGACTAACGCAGGGGTTTGGAAGCATGTCTGGGGGTGGGGCTTCCAGGAAAGGTGGACTACAGGGTAGGATTGGGGACAATAAACAGAAAATAAGTCGGGGTTCGGAGAGCCCCCTGAAGTTGGGAGGTGGGACTTCCGGGGAGGGGGTCGCAGGGGGCGGGACTTGTAAATGAAGACCGGAAGTAGGGTCCCGGGACAGGGGTTCCGGGGTGGAGGAGTGGGTCACCTAAGGAGAAAAGTGTACCAACTCACCAGGGCTTCATGGAGTCTCCGCACCGCACCGCGGGCCGATTTGGTTCCGGATCACGCCACTGCCTCCTCAGGTCGCCGCTCCAACTTTCTCCCCGGGCCCAGCCTCCCTGGAGAAACTTTATTGCACTCACTTCCGGCCTCACTAACCCCTGACCCTCTACCTCATTGTCCCTCCTTCACCCGTCCCACTTTCCCGAATCAGCCAATGGCAGCGCGAGGACGCGCACAGCGGCAGTGATAGCCAATAAAAGGCCTATTTTTTACTCACGCCAATTCTTGAGCAATGTTCATTCCAATGAGGACTTGAGTAGAAGCAAATCTAAGCCAATCGGAGGCTTGAAGGTGGGGTTGTCCCGCCTTCCGCCAGAGGGACCAATAGAAAGCGCAGGCGGCGTGTTTGAAAGCGAGGCCAAAGAGGGTGGGAGCGCGTGCTGCTGGGAGTTGTTCGGAGGTTGGCGGCGCGGGGCTGAAGGTCCTCAGGCAGAGTGGTCATGTCGCACAAACAAATTTACTATTCGGACAAATACGACGACGAGGAGTTCGAGTACCGGTTAGTGCCGGCGCGGGGGCAATATCAAGGTCGTGAGTTTTGACAACCGAGGGCACGAAAAGTTGGTAACGGGGACTGAAACAGCAGAGTTAGCGCATGCGCGGGAGATTAACGGGAATGGGTGTGTTGCGTGTAAAGCGCATGCGCGAAAGATAGGGGGCAATCAAAAAAAAAAAACCCTGAAGTGATAGCGAATTTGGAAGGAGGCGTGGGTGGTCGTGGTTAGAGTGTTCGAATGTTAGAATACTGACCACCCTCAGCTTTGCGGGTTTCTGGACCATTCTGTCACCTCAGTTCAGTAAACTGAACTTGCCTTCTTGAGACTGCTTGTATTACAGCCACACCGTAGAGCCTTATGGGAGAAGGTGGCAAAGGCGAAGCTTGAATTTTCCTCGAGTCTTCAAAGTGCGGGGAGTTCTAAGAGAGCCTGGGTATTGCTTATTAATCAGTGGGAAAGGGGCGTTGTTGTCTGATTTGTTTTAGGAAGGGGGGCTTCGAGGAACTGGAATGGAATAAAACTGACCAGGAACACTGAGGAAAGACTTAATATGGCCCTGAGAGAGTACCGTCAAATGTTTGAAGGGCATCTACTTGGAAACAATTATGGAGTGTTTATAGGTTTCAGGTGTTCTGCTAAAGTACACGGATAAGCCATGGTCCCTGCTTTCAACAGACTAAAAAATATGTGGAAATACAGACAGGCTTCAGAAAGAAGATAATTGGTATGATAGAGCTATGTTCAGGTAGGTAGTGGTGGAAGCATGTAGGATTTACCAAGCATTATAAAGAAAGGACTCAGTACAGAGTTTGCATTTGATAAACCCTAAGTCCGTAATTCTAGATTAGAAAATAAGGCAAGACAATTTTACAAATGTTGGCATTCCACTAATCTGCAGTAAGCGTTAATAGTTAAAACAACTGGAGGCTTGATTTTCTTGTGTTTCTTCAGCCTAGTGCAGGGCTCTGAGCCTTCTGGAGAACTTGGTGTATGCTGACAAATAGCCCGGCCCTGGGATCTCACTGGTGGTCCAGTGGCTAAGACACCAAACTCCCAATGCAGGGGACCTGGGTTCAATCCCTGGTCAGGGAACTAGGTCCCACATGCTGAAACTACGATCCAGACCAAAAACAAAACAAAACACTCCAGCCCTGTTTGGACCCAATTAACTCTTTTCCTCAGCTGTTTTTCTCTACATCTGAACTAGGCTAAGTAAAATTATGTGCTTAAAATGTCTTTGCAGGGCTAGGGAGACATCACTAGTTTCATCCTCTGAAGGATGTAAGTCTTGGCAGTGATATTTAATTTAAGGAAACATTTGGGTTTTTCTTTTTTTTGGTCTAAATAGTCCTGGAAGCCAGTCTTTATGCCAGGGGCTTGTTAGGATGTAAGCTGTTTTCAGACATTTAGACTAGAATTGACCCTCGGGGGGCTGAAGGGGTGGAATCCCTTTTACTTAGCACAGAGAGAGCATTCAATACAGTTTCACTGAACATAATCAAGTCTGGGTCACCCCAATTCAAGTAGTAATTTCTTTGCTATAAAAGGAGACATCCTTGGTTAGGAAAGCATGGAGTCGTCCCCCCAAAGAAGTCTCGTGGCACATCCTTTCAGAGTTGAAAAATGTAACTGAGGATAGATTTTAAAAGATAAGATTTTTCTATTTCATTCTTGGGGGCAGGGGCGGGTAAAAAAGCCTTTATTTCACCAGCAGATAAATTCAGGTCATCTCAGACTTACTAACCAAATGGATTGTGAGAAAAATTTGTTTGCCTTCAGGTTTTTGTAAAGTTGTAAATTGTAAAACTTAAATATAAGGGAGGGGATTGTGGACATATTTATACATAGGCCAAAGAAATTTATATAAGTATAAATGTATAAATAGATATCTTTGTTGTTGTTTAGTCACTAAGTCGTGTCCAACTCTTTGCGACCCCATGGATTATAGCCCGATAGGCTCCTCTGTCCATGGAATTCCCCAAGCAAGAATACTGGAGTGGGTTGCCATTTCCTTCTCCATATATTTGATTTTATGTTCTGGCTTTTCCACACAGCACTCCCTGATAGGCCTTTCCTCTCTGAAATCACTTCTCTCCCTTACTTACAACCCTGTTCAGAACAACCTTTAATTATTAACACTATGTGTGTATGTCTGGGGCTCCCGTTATATTGTTTAAGAGTAATCAACTAGAGGACTGTAATGTATCATCAGTGCCTGGGATTTTGGCGCTCATTCATGGGTGTTATTCGTTAATACTTTCTAATATACTTTCGTGAGAATTTATGTAACTTGGTCCCTAACTTGGGCTTTATTTCTAGCTGCCTTTGCACTACAGTAAAATTTTATAAACTCCCTCCCGTTACAAACTGGTTTCTCTTGTCTGTCTTGGCTTTACCTGCTGGCCCCCTCATCTGATAGATTGTACCCAGTACTGATACAAATTTCCCACCTTCCCATGTTTCTATTACAGGCATGTCATGTTGCCCAAGGACATAGCCAAGCTGGTCCCTAAAACTCATTTGATGTCTGAATCTGAATGGAGGAATCTTGGTGTTCAGCAGAGTCAGGGATGGGTCCATTATATGATCCATGAACCAGGTCAGTGCAATGGCAGAAAGCAACCATGTAGGACCAAGGAAATGAAGGAGGGGATGATTTACTGGTTTCTTAACTCACCAGCCATCTAGAAAAACAGGAGTGACCAAAAATAAGAAATAAAGTATCTGGGAGGTTCAGATACAACCTGTCACTGGAGGGGAAAAGAAAAAAAACAAAACTCCTTTAATCTCTAATTCAGTCAGAGAATATATATACATATATATATATATTTAAAGGCCACATATATCTTGGTGTAGAGGTTATGGCCTCTTCTTCATTCTCCATCAGAAAGTGAATTTTGAGGTGTGTTCCAAATAAACAAAGGAAAGTATATTTCTCGATACGGTACCAGACACCAAACCACCAGGCAAAACTAATAAAGGACACCCTGGGGCTATAGAAACTTAGCAAGAGAACCGATATTAACAATTCTGTGCTTGGCACACAAGCCAGGCTTCTGGGTCTGCTTCTAAGGCCATATGCTTAAATCTTCATTTAGTTACAAAGATCTAAGTGGTGATAGCTGGGAAGTGGGAGTGGGATGCACTATAGGTTGTGCATAGGACGGTGTGGTTTTACTTACTCTCTAGATCTCACTCACTCACTCACTCTTTCAGAACCTCACATCTTGCTGTTCCGACGGCCACTGCCCAAGAAACCAAAGAAATGAAGCTGGGGAGCCACTTTTCAGCCTCAAGCTTTACACAGCTGTCCTCACTTGCTAACATCTTCCTGATGACATTATTGTGTTGCCTTCTTGTTTCTCACTTTGATATTTAAAGGATTTTCAATACACTGAATGTGCTGGTGACTGCTTTGCTTCTTGAGCAGAACTGACAGGAAGGACCAGAGCCCAGCTGGATGAGTGAGTGCTCTCTGGGTTGCAGCCTCAGCTAAGTGTGACCCCCAAAATCTACATGAGCTCTGAATCCAGCAGAACACGCTTGACAGATGGAGAAAGCATCTGAGAATAAGACCACGACTATTACAGGGATTGTGTAAACTTGGCTGTTTTGGTTTTTTTCCTGCCAGGTGTTGTGTGTATGTTGATTTATGTTTCAGTATATTGGAAACTTTCCATTTTATTCCAAGAAATCTGTTCCATGTTAAAAGCCTTGATTAAAGAGAAAGTTTTTATGATCTAATTCTATAATTGTTAAAGTTTTTTTTCCCCCCTTCTCTCAGGACATCACCCTCACTATCATGGTTCTAGTTATATGGCCTTCAGTAAGATAATGAAGCTCGGCTCTTTGTTGACATTGAGGTTTGTTTCAAGTAACTGGTTTGTAATCTACTTTAAGTAGACTTTGCTGTCAAGTATCTACTGAAATATATTTCACTCTAACTGCAGGCCTAAGAGAGGTTATATAGGGACAACATCATCTCATCAAAACAAATCAGTTGTTTTCTATGGTCAGGTACTGCCATTAACATAGTCTGATTTTTTTGAAGGGCACACAAGGGTTTTGGGGGCCTCCCTGGTGGTTCAAACGGTAAAGAATCTTCCTGCAATGCAGGAGACCCAAATTCGATCCCTGGGTTGGGAAGATCCTCTGGAGAAGGGAATGGCTACCCACTCCAGTATTCTATTCTTGCCTGGAGAATTCTATGGATAGAAGAGCCTGGCGGGCTATAGCCCATAGGGTCACAAAGAGACGTTACACTTAACAAGGGCAAAGCGAGGCTGCTAGTATACTCCACTTCCTGACCAGCCTAAGGCTCCAGCACACTTACGGCCTGTTCACTGAGAACGGAGTGGTTTGGGAGTGTTATCAGTGGTTCTCACTTTGACCAAACATTGGAATCACCGGAGTCATTCCCAGGGAAGTTGACTTAATTGGTCTGGGGTATGGCCTGGATAAGGGGATTTCAAGCATTCTTAAACAGGTAGTTACTGCACTGAGCTTTGAGAAGACGGTTGTAAACTGTGACTATTTAAGAAACATTTTGCCAAATATTAGCTTACCTTCTACCTTTAATAGTAGTGCTAAGTAAGGGAGATTAATCTGCCCACTCTCTCTTATTTTTCACTCATTTATTCCTAGAGCTGTAGTAGTCAGCAGTACAGGTGTGGTCCCTGGTCCGGAAGCGTCAATATCACCTGAAAACTTAGAAGTGCTCATTCTTGGACTCCACCCTAGGCCTACTGAATCAAACCCTGAGGGTTGGTTGGACACAGTGACATTTCAACAAGCTCTCTAGGTGATTCTGGTGCACACTTAAGTTTGAGAACCCACTAAAAGACTCGGAGCTGATGTTGAGGGGTAAGGAGGAGGCATTTTGGGGAGGGGCTTGTCAAATATCACCATGATTATTAAGATACTGTAGCATATGGCTTATGCTGTTAGGAAAGCCCAAGTTTGTTTTTTTAGAGCTGAGACTCCCTTAATTGGAAAAACAAAACAAAACTGGGCTTATTACTTGAAGGTTCTAGAAGCCTGATTCTCTTATTCACTGTAGTGTTTTTGTGGTTTTTATGTGGCATCTCGTCACCTATTTGAGCCTGTTGCCCATCTGTAAAATGGGCATATCTCTCTTAGAGGGGTTTTTAGGAGAGTAAAATGAGGCAGGTGTGGTTCAGTAGTTCTCCACATGAAATTTTAGACCTTTACTCAAAAAGCAATGGCATCAGGATGACAGGAGGGTTTGTTAAATGCAGATCTCTGGCCCCACCCAAAAGGCCAGAACCCTGTAGATTTAATCAACATATTAAAAAGGCCCCCCTAAAGAGACTCAGATGTATAGAACAGGCTTGTGGACTCTGGGAGAAGGCGAGGGTGGGATGTTTCAAGAGAACAGCATCGAAACATGTATATTATCTAGGGTGAAACAGATCACCAGCCCAGGTTGGGTGCATGAGACAAGTGCTCGGGCCTGGTGCACTGGGAAGACCCAGAGGGATTGGGTGGAGAGGGAGGTGGGAGGGGGGACCGGGATGGGGAATACATGTAAATCCATGGCTAATTCATTTCAATCTATGACAAAAACCACTGCAATGATGTAATTAGCCTCCAACTAATAAAAATAAATGGAAAAATAAATAAATAAAATTTAAAAAAATTAAAAGGCCCCCAGAAGATTGGTAGGAGTATTAAGTACTCTTAGACCAGAGACAAGTAAAATAAGTGGAAGCTGAGACTCCAAAGTGGACATGTGGCCCTCCCTTTGTCTCTGCCCTCACTTGTACCTACAAGACCAATTAACTGGGAGAGGTTGTTTAAAGCACCATCTGGAACAAGGTGGGGCAAGACTTCGTTGTCAAAAATTTGAAGTAACTAGCTTTATCGTTTATAACAGAGACAAATGAAAGTTCCACACAATAAAAGCTCACCACCAGGATCTCATTAGCTCACAGGCAATCCTGACCATTTTTCTTGGTGTCCGTCCAACTTCGACTTGCTACAGTGTAAAATCCCCTTTGACACCAGTGCCAGCCCCTGACCCCTCAGAGTCGTGGTTCATGAATAACAGATAGTATGTGCACGCAAGAATCTGAACACTGAGCGGAGGTTATAGTCAAGCGTCTCTACTTCCAGCACCAGAGGGGAGCACCACAAACACCTTAGAGCCCCTTCAGCCCCCTCGGATCCTTCCACTCCTCAGGATTTTTCTTGAGAAAAGCCCCGCCCCCCGGCTAAGGCCCAGCCCCCTCGCTTCCGGGTGAGGGTGGCCACGTGGTTGTCGCCAATAACAACCCAGCACTACTCCCGCCTTCTGGCTAAGGCTCGCGAGCGATGGTCGACTACACCAATGAACCCATAGAAGTAGTCTGAGCGACGGCCAAAATAACCAATTAGTATGAGGTGAGTGTGAGTCTGAGGCGGGACTCTGAGTACGGAAGCTGCCCCGAGACAGGAGGAAAGGAGAGAGGGAAAGACCCGGTGAAGGGGCAAGAGGCAGGTGAGAACCTGGAAGAGCTCAGCAGTCTGAAGCGTGGCGGGAAAAGACAGGATTCTGGGCTAGAAAGGGTGTGGAAGACTCCAGAAGAAGGCTGCTGAGTTCTGGTCGGTGGTGGACGGAGGGAACGCATTTAAAGGGGCCAAGGCCCAGGATAAGGTAGACATTTAAAGGGACAGGTGCCCCAAAGAGAAGAGACATATAAATATAAAAGTGCAGATGCCCTGGATAGAGCCGACCCTAGAAGAACCGAGCTCTGCAGACAGAAGACATTTTTAACTGGTAGGTTCGGGAGAGAAGGACATTTTAAGGAGAATAGGACGGAGCATAGAAGACATTAAAAGAGGTATGGGCTAGAGTTTAAGAACACGTTTACTAAACGGAAAGGGATACAAGAGTCGATTGTCAAGGGCCTGATGAGGAAAACTATGCACTCCTCCTCTTCCCCATTGTCCTTTCTGGCTCCTCCAGGTTCCCTCCACCCCGGAATCCCTGTTCCCAGGCTATGACCCCCAGTGTCCTGTAGACCTGGCGGGCCCCCAGTGCTTGCGACCCCTATTTGGGGGTCTGGGTGGCTACTGGAGGGCCTTCCAGAGGGGCAGAGAAGGCAGGACCATGGCATCTAGGGCCTCTGAACTTCCGCCAGGGCGCAACGTGACGGCGGGCATCATCATTGTTGGAGATGAGATCCTCAAGGTGTGTCTGGGACGGGGAGGGCGGGGGGGTAGCATTCTCCGGTCCTTGGGAGCTTTCTCCACGTTCTGTTGAGGGAGGGTGAACCAGGGTGGGAGCCCTCTGGCTGCAGTAGGGCCCTGGAGTGAGTCCAAGATATTGGAGGAAAAGTGACCCTTATTCTTTCAATTACTCTGTTGAAAAACTTGTAGCAAAGTCCCTACAAATTGCCAAGCAGTATGGTAGGGGGAGGAGGACCTTTACAGAAATGACAAGAAGTCCAGCGTGTATAGGAGGTACAGGTCCATGTATTATTTCAGAGTTATGTCCAACCTATTTGGAAAAATGATCCAAAGCATTCAGGAGAGATAGAAGGAAAGTACTAGAAGGGGGAAATCTCTTCTGAATGATCAGGGAAGTCTCACTAGAGGTCATGGTGGGCATCAGGTTTGTAATAGTAATATTGAGTGCTTACTAGGGCCTGGCAGTGTGCTTGTATTACATCACATATATGATTTTCCTAATCCTTATCCTTATGATGTGGGTACTTCTATTACAAATCTCAATTAATAGATAGAGACTGAGGCTTGAGAAAGGTTGAGAAGCTTTCCCTGAACAGCTCGTAAGTGGTAGGTGGGATTCCAACTTGAGTCGCATTTATACCAGAGCCTACCTTAACCACTAAACTCTGTAGAGAAATAGAAGGAGATGGGGCTAGAAAAGAAGAGTGCATACACACCATAGACACACAGCCTTGAATATTCTGCAAAGTAATTTGAACTTTATTCTGTATGTGGTTGGAAATAACAAGTGACTTTTCAGCCAAGAGTGACGCAATCACAGTGACATGTTAGGAAGGTTGCTGCGGAGGCCTAGGGCAGAGTGCGGTGGCAGGACACTGGGAGCCTGGCCAGGGGTCTGTTGCCACCATCCAGGTGAAAAGTGCCAAGGACCTGTTTGGTGGCACTAGGAACAAAGAAGAGAGCAGATGGAGAGACATTTCAGAAGTAGAATTGACAGCATGAAGGGCCTGACAGGCTGCAGACAGTGTCTGAGGATGCCACTGACCAAAGTGACAACAGCCAGGAATCTGAAGATGCCCTTAAGCACTTGGGACCAGGGGCCTGAAACTGTCAGGGTTGATGAGGAAGTGGATGAGTGGTCCACATAAAATTGATAATTGAATCGATAAGCAAAGAGGAGGTCAAGGTCCAAGCGCAGAGATGGAAGCCCAAGTTGGATCACATTACCCCTGACTCCATTCACATGGATTTTCCCACTCTTGGGCCCAGTGTGGGCTTGTGGGCTGCCGGAAGTGGGTGTCCCCCAAAGAGCAGAGTGCTCCGTCAGCAGGCAGTTGCAGCTTGATCCTTCCTCCTTTGCCCTGCATCCCCACAGCACTGACACGCTCATCTTCCCCACCCCCAACCTCCCAGGGACACACTCAAGACACCAACACCTACTTTCTGTGCCGGACACTGCGTTCCCTGGGGGTCCAGGTGTGCCGAGTCTCCGTGGTACCCGACGAGGTAGCCACCATCGCAGCTGAGGTCACAGCTTTCTCCAGCCGCTTCACCCACGTCCTCACAGCAGGAGGCATCGGCCCCACACATGATGATGTGACCTTTGAGGCAGTGGCCCAGGCCTTTGGGGACGAGCTCAAGCCACACCCTGAGTTGGAAGCGGCCGTCAAGGCCCTAGGAGGGGCGGGCTGGGAGAAACTGTCACGGGTGCCCGCCTCTGCCCGCCTGCATTATGGCACAGATCCTCGCACTGGCCACCCCTTCCGATTCCCACTAGTCTCTGTCCGAAATGTCTACCTCTTCCCGGGAATTCCGGAGCTGCTCCGTCGGGTGCTGGAAGGGCTGAAGGGGCTGTTCCAAAACACAGCTGTTCAGTTCCACTTGCGGGAAATGTATGTGGCAGCTAATGAGGCCTCTATCGCCCCCATCCTGGCTGAGGCCCAGGCCCATTTTGGGCGCAGGCTTGGCCTGGGTTCCTACCCTGACTGGGGCAGCAACTACTATCAGGTGAAGCTGACACTGGACTCGGAGGAAGAAGGGCCCCTGGAGGAGTGCCTGGCCTACCTGACTGCCCGTCTGCCTCAGGGATCAGTGGTTCCCTACGTGCCCAATGCCGTGGAGCAGGCCGGTGAGGCCGTGTACAAACTCACTGAGTCAGGTAGGGGCCTTCTGGGGAAGGGGCAGAAGGCACCAGACCACTGGTGCCACCCTAGGTCTTAGGAGTGGTGGGCTGTTGGAGGCTTGCCGCAGATCCAAGAGAAGGTAGAAGATAGCTACAGCAGATTCATTCATTCTTCCAATAAATATCAATTGAGTACTTCCTTTCAGCAACATTGTGCTGGGTGTTGGGGGTTTAGCTCAACAGGACAGAGGTACCCCTGCTCTGGACAAGTAGTTTTATTTAACAGGAGAGGGGGATGTTAAAAAGGTAATTGTGCATGAGTGGTCAGTGATGAGGGGGTTTCCACAGCAGGGAGATCAGCCTTGATCTGGGGTCAGAGAAGGCTTCCCTGGGTGAGTGACATTTAAGCTGAGTGATAAGGAGGATTTTCACATGGGGCTAGTGGTAAAGAACCCCCCTGCCAATGCAGAAGACTTAAGAGACACAGGTTCGATCCCTAGGTCAGGAAGATCCCCTGGAGGAGAGCATAGCAATCCACTCCAGTGTTGCCTGGAGAATCCAGTGGACAGAGGAGCCTGGTGGGATACGGTCCATAGGGTCACAAAGAGTCCGAAACAACTGAAGCGACTTAGCACACACACACGCAAGAAGAATTTGGTTAGACCAGGAGATGGGCAAGAGGAAACAGTGTGAAAGAGGGAAGGAAACAGCATGAGCTTTAGGAGAATGAAAAGAAACCAGGACCCCCAGAGGGAATACACTGAGGTGAAGAATACCGTGAGGTATGGCTAAATGACGGGCAGGGGGCAGATGAAGGAATTGAACACTGGGAAGATAGAAAGGGGCTTAAGCAAGGGCAGCTTGGCCACCCCTGCCTTTTGACAGCCATATGTATCTAACTGATGCTCTCTTCCCTGCCTGCGTGGCAGGGTCTTCTCTGGGGGAGAAGGTGGCAGGCGCCCTCCAGACCATTGAGACTGCCCTGGCTCGGTACAGCCTCACCCAGCTCTGCGTGGGCTTCAACGGGGGCAAGGACTGCACTGCCCTCCTGCACCTCTTCCACGCCGCAGTGCAGAGGTGAGCTCACCCCCTGGAGGCAGACCCCAGAGATAGAGCTGCCCCATTTGCTAGTTCCCCATCCTGCTTCTTAGCAGGAAGGAAGGGGGGTGTCTGGGTGGGGCTTGGCAGGGCGGTAGCCACAGTGACCTCTCAGTTCCGTTCCTCCCTGTATTTATTGAGCATCTGACACCTGCCTGGCCCTGGGTATGGATTTGCGAGCCACCTTCCCCGACCAGAGGGAGGTCACAGTCCTGTCGGGGAGGTAAGGCCTACATGCTAGAAATGAGTATGGGCTCCAGATTTGAGAGATCAGAGTGGGCTTGCCAGAGCAAATGGGTTCTTCCCTTCAGATGAGGATGAGGAAAAGGGAGGAGGAGAGGGTGTCTATCCCAGTGGCCAAAGGGAACAGAGCAAGCTCTCTGGGGAGCGTTTCCCTGCCCATCGTGGCAAGCCAATGGATCCTGCCCCCTCCCCAGGAAGTGCCCTGATGCTCAGAAGCCCCTCCAGATCCTGTATATCCGCAGCATCTCCCCTTTCCCTGAGCTGGAGCAGTTTCTACAGGACACCATCAAGAGGTACTAGGGGCCTTGGAGATTTGGGATTCCAGAGGGGCTTGGCAGGGCCCACTCCTGACTCCCGGCGCTCTTCCTCAGGTACAATCTGCAGGTGCTGGAGGCTGAGGGAGACATGAAGCAGGCCCTGAGTGAGCTGCAGGCGCGGCACCCCCAGCTTGAGGCGGTGCTGATGGGCACCCGCCGCACTGACCCCTACTCCTGTGGCCTCTGCCCCTTCAGCCCCACCGATCCAGGCTGGCCTGCATTCATGCGCATCAACCCACTCCTGGTATGGGGAAGGGGGTTTATCACCTTCAGTCTCCTGTCCCCATCAGTCATTGCTCCCTGGCTTCCTGGGGTGGGAGGGTTAGACCCTGGGGCTTAGATGAAATGGACCCATCAGCCAAGGGAGGCAGTGGTATCTGTTCATTCAGCCTTTTGATCAGGTTTTATTGAGCACTAATTCAACGGCAAGCATGTGGACCGAACAGTGTCTTAGACCTGTGCTGTCCAATATGGTAGCCGTGAGCCACTTATTTACACTTGAATTGTAATTAATTGAAATGAAATACAAATTGCTTTAAAAAGTTGAATTGTATGCTTTAAAAAGATGAATATCATGGCTTGTGAATTATATCTCAATTTTTTAATTAAATACAATTCAAACTTCAGTTCCTTAGTTGTACATTGTACCAGCCTTATGTCAAATGACTACCATGTTAGACGGCATAGATATAGACCATTTCCATCATTGCAGATAGTTCTTCTGGATAGCACAAGCTTACACAAATAGGCTTAAACAGCCTCTCTCTCTCCTCCTGGAAATTACATCTCAGTGGAGGTTGGATTGAGAATGGGGAGGGGACAGGATGGTTTCTCTCATTGATTGGCGTACACAGAGCAAGATGTACCACAGAGTTTAGTAGCAGGTCCTCCCTCAGAGGCTAGGGGAGCGGAAGTGCCGGGATAGGCCCTTCCCCAGGGGGATGAGGGTAGATGTGGGAGGGGGAGTATTTGTGAGTCTGCTCTGACTTTGGCCTCCCAGGACTGGACCTACAGAGACATCTGGGACTTCCTGCGCCAACTGTTTGTCCCCTACTGTATCCTGTATGACCGAGGGTAAGGTGTTGGGGGAATGGGACGGGCGTGTGGAAGACATGAGGGTGCGGGACTGGGAACACCAAGCCCATCAGAAATCCACCATGCCCTCCGCCACCCCCACCCTACCCCACCCAGCTACACGTCACTGGGAAGCCGGGAGAACACGGTACGGAACCCAGCCCTGAAGTGCCTGAGCCCAGAAGGACAGCCTACCTACCGTCCAGCCTACCTGCTTGAGAACGAAGACGAGGAGCGGAACTCCCGCACATGACCTCCCACTCCCGCCCTTTTCAAGGCGGAAGGGAGGAGGCTGTCCTGGGGTCTAACCTGTCAATAAACCACCTCTCCTGTGCCTGTGGCTCTGGCTGTGCCTTTGTCTTCCTGCTTCAGGGAAAGGGAGAAGCAAAAGGAAGCCAGGCCCTGGCAGCTCGGAGCCCCCAGTGCTCACTCTGAGGGGGATGGGGGGGCAGCGCAGGCTGGGAAGGAGCTCTCACTGATGATTTTCAGCACCAGCCTCATCAGGAGCCCACTAGAGGGCAGAAGCAGGGAGCAGTGTCAACCCTGGGGGGAGGGGGGAGGGACAACGAGGCAGTGGACCCAGGGTTTCAGGACCCAGGCTGGAAGAAGGGAAGCTGAGCTGGCCTGGCCGTGGAGGATGAAAGATGGAGTGGCCGGGCCCTCCTACTAACCCCATCCCAGCATCCCTGGGCACAGGGGCTGACTCAGCCCATTCTCGGGCCCAGAACCTTCCCTGTGCTAGACCCTGGGGCCCTTGTGCCCACAGTCATGAGGTCTGAAGGGGGTGGGGACAATGTTGATAAAAGGCACTGGACGCAGCTCCCACACCCTTCCTCAGCTGCAGCCCACATGCAGCCCCGGACACAGCCCCTAGCCCAGGCCCTGCCCTTCTCCCTCGGAGGGGTCCTGCGAGACACTGGACTTCGGGTTCCCATCATGAAGATGGGCACAGGGTGGGAGGGCCTGCAGCGGACCCTGAAGGAAATGGTCTACATCCTCCTCTGCTGCTGGTGTATCAAGGAGCTGCTGGATTAACGGTGGCAGAGACCTGCCTCCACTCCACGGCCACCATGGCCGGCATCGCTCAGGTGGGCAGGGTAGGGCAGACAGACAGGAGGCACGGTTGCAACTTCTGTGGCAGAACCTGCCTCTCAGCTTCCCGTTCTTTTTTTAGCACCCAGTCCAGCATCCATCAAGACTCCCGGGGCCAGCTGTGCTTGACCAAGGATGGGCCACAAACAACGAGTGAAGTGCTATCCTGTTTCGAGTTTGTGCCATCTGTCAGACCTGCCTCATCTCTGGGCCTCCGTTCCCAGCCCCCACCGCCAGCGCACCTCTGGTGCACAGGAGCTTGGCCTGCTGGCTAGGACCCCAGTCAGACTGCAGCAGGACCTGGCGCTCCTCCAAGTCTGGCTCAGGGAGCCTACTGGCCCAGATGGCTGATCTTACCATACCCTCCCAATACCAGGAATGGCCTGCCCCCATTCTCTCTGTTTGAGAATCACTGAACTATATGTATAATAAATAGGCCTTGAGACCGAAAGTTCTAAATGTCTACAGGGGAATCAGAAAAAGTCAGCACCGGAAGAGTCTGGAGCCAGGGAGGAAAGGAGGTTGTCATGGATAGAAAGACTGAAAGCCAGGTTTCCTGACTCACTGGTGCCTGGGTGGGGAGGGCGTTGGGTGGAAAGGCCAGGTTCCTCCCAACTTGTAGAAAGGGAGGAGTCTAGCTTGGGTGGGTTCTTCTATGAGGCCCTCCATGTAAGGCTGGGAACCTAAATAGAAGACCTGATCTGGCCAGCTCCTTGCCCCTGAAGATCTTGGGGAAATCACTGAGCTGGTACTAGTTCCCAGCTTACAGAGAGCAGGCCCTGCTCCTCTAGCTCACACACAAAGCTGCAAGGGAAAGCTGTCCTGCAGGCTATGACAATGCACAGGACACAGCCAGAATGAACAGAATTGACTCTTCGATTCCCCTTGGCAGCCACCAACACATGCTCTCCCTGAATCACTCCCTGGGGTCAGTACACACCAGTTATTTACATCATCTTGCTCCTGCCTACTGACATGCCCACTCAGACCCCCACAACCTCAGAGGCAGCCAAAGCGTCCCTCGGATCTCTACCCAGCATTCTCTGGGGCCCAGTTCTGCCTTTCCCCCATTCTATCCTGGGACACTGGCCTGGAGGTGGTGTATGTGACCTTCTCCCACTGCCAGGGACCAGCGCTTCCTCAGACTTCTTAGTTGACTCCTTTTCCTCTGGGCTTGTTTTCTTTCTCTTTGTCAGAGTAATATATGCCTAGAGTAAAGAGCTCTGATAATTCTTTATCCCCTAGCACCTATACCCTAGCTTTCCTCGCCAGAAGTAACCATGGTGACCCGTTTCTTGGACAGCAATTTTTTTTAAGTTCTTTAAATTGGTGTATAGTTGACTTACAACATTATATTAGTTTCAGGTGTACAGCATAGTGATTCAAATTTTTTATAGATTATACTCCATTTATTATAAAATATTGGCTATATTCCCTGTGCTGTACAAAAGATACTTGTAGCTTATTTATTTTATACATAGTAGTTTATACCTCTTAATCCCATAGATCTTGTCCCTCCCCCTTCCCTCTCCACTAATAACCACTAGTTTGTTCTCTATATCTTATATTCATTCGTTCTGTTTTTTAGATTCCACATGTGACTGATAACATACCATATTTGTCTTTCTCTCTCTGACTTATTTCATTAAGCATAATACTCTCCAGGTTCAACCATTCTGTTGCAAATGGCAAAAGATTCATTCATTCATTTAACATATATTATTGAGTATCTGCTATATGCCATTCTGGCTGCTTTGAATACAGCAGTGAACAAAATAGATCCCTGTACTTTTGGAGTTTACGTGCTGGTGGATAGAGACAGAAAATATAAACATAAAAACAAGCACATTGATGTTATTAGGTGATAGGTGCTATGGAAAAAGAGAAGGTTGAGCTAGGGATGGGAGTTGGAGCAAGCCTAGTAGGCCATGGTAACAACTTGAGATTTTATGCCGAGTGAAATAAGGAACTGTTGCAGGCAGTTGAGCATGAACTGATTTTTTTATTTAAAAGGTTCACACTGGCACTGGGTTGAGAATAGCCTTTAGGGGACCAAGGGTAGAACATCAGAGACCTCTTAGGAGGTAATGGGCACAATTGGGGCCAGATGTGTTGGTGGCTTATAGCAGGCTTACAGCCATAGCAGTGGACAGAAGTGGCTGCATTCTGCATATACTTGTCCTTCTAGTTAATAACATACTCTACACCCTGCTCTGCACCTTGCTGTTTTTGCTTCACATACCTTGTAAAGGATTTCATACCAGTATGTTTACAGCCTGTCCATTCTTTTTTATGGTAGCATGGTACTCTATAGTACTCCAAATCAAGGTTATTTCTTAACCCAGGCAGCCCCGCATCCACAAAATGCATGTCAATGTTCTTCCCTGGTGTCTCCAGGTCCCCAGGGCACAGCAGTGAGAAGGTCCTGAATCCATCCAGAGAGAGCTTAGTGGTGAAAGTGAGTGAGTGAAGTCACTCAGTTGTGTCCGACTCCTTGCGAGTCCATGGACTGTAGCCTACCAGGTTCCTCCATCCATGGGATTTTCCAGGCAAGAATACTGGAGTGGGTTGCTATTTCCTTCTCTAGGAGATCTTCCTGACGCAGGGATTGAATCCGGGTCTCCCGCCATTGTAGGCAGACGCTTTGCTGTCTGGGCCACCAGGGAAACACCAGGGGTTAGTGGTAGAGGTGGATAAAGAATTCACCTTTGCCTCTGAATTTGGAGTTCCCTTTCCCCATTGTAGCCTGCACCCTGCTTGGCGGGCTCCAGCCCTTCCCTCACTCGAGCTGGAGAAGTCTGCCTCCTTTTCCTTTCTTAGACCTCACTCCCACCAAGCTGCAGCAGCGCTGGAGGTGGATCCTAAAGTCTGAGGCTTCTGACTTTGCCAGGGGAGGGGACGTCTGGCCAGGGCCGCTGGGGAAGTGGTAGATGGAGGGAGGCAGGGCCCAGGGCTGTGGCCCGCGGTAGGAGCTGAAGGAGGGAGACAAGCAGGGACTGCCAGTAGCCCAGGGAGAGTGTCAGAGCTGGAAAGAGAGTGTCAGAGCTCTGAGAGTGCAGAGACTGGAAGGAGATGGGGAGGATAACAGAAACCTCACACACCGTGCCGAAAGCCCGGTTCAGCTAAAGAGTGCTCTGAGCCTTACAAAAGTCCACTTCAAAAGTAGGCAGGACAACAGTAATTATCATATCTTTACATGAAGGAACAAGCCCGGAGAGCTGAGGTGACCCCTCCAAAGTCGCACAAACAGTACTCTGCGGTAGAGTAGTCATTTGGTGAACCCAGATTTTTTTCATCTCAAATTCAGAGCCTCTCTCAATTAGCCTGCCTTCCTCTTCTGAACATGTGCTTGGGATGGTGGTCTAAGTGGCCTGGGAGGCAGGGCCAGGAAAGCGAAATGGTGGAGGGGACAATCAACCCTATTCTACACCCACTGCATGCTCTCCTGCTTGACCTCAATCCTAAGCTCCCCTTGTTCTTCATTTCCTGCCGGGGGCATTTGGGAGCCCCAGCTATGCCCTTTTCATGTAAGCCACAGAGCCAGGAGACGGTTCCCGGACTACACCTCCCCACTGGTCTAGAAGGAAAAGTGAGAGATGGCAGTTTCCCTGTAATGTTCTCTTCCCATCTAGAATAAGCTCTGGTTTTGAATGTCCAAACCGCTCTCTCCAGAACTCACTGGAGGGGGATGAGGGGAGGGATAAAGGAAGATTTGGAGGCACCAAGACAGGGAGGAATGGGTAAGAGCTCATCTACCCCTCGTCGCCCCGGGACCGCCTAGTGGCAACAAGGGGGAGGGGACTAGGCTGGTAAAGTGCCGAAAGAGACCAGGCAGAACTGAAAAGGTAAAAAGGGAAAGGTGGGCGCTTACTCCTGTCTGATTCTTTGAGAGGCTATGGACTGTAACCTGCTAGGCTCCTTTGGCCATGGAGTTTTCCAGGCAAGAATACTGGAGTGGGTTGCCATTTCCCACTCCAGAGGATCTTCCCGACCCAGGGATGGACCCCACGTCTCTGGCTTCTCCTGCGTTGACAGGCGCGTTCTTTACCACTGCGCCACCTAGGAAGCGTTTTACCAGTACCGGCTTTGTTACCTGCACTGGTGCTTTGGGTGAGTCAGTTTTCCTCACTCAATCTCAGTTTCCTCGTCGGAACTCGAAGAACTGAACTGGCAGAACTGGAAGGGACTCCCCAAATAGGACAGCATGCGGAGGAAAACCGGCCTCATAACCGGGATTCCCAGCTGATTACGTCGGTCATGACCCTCAATGGTCTGCAGAAAGTAGGTGGAGAGGAGTCGAGAAAAGTGGTCTGAGGAGCCGTGCGCAATTAACTAAATATTATAGTGATGCTCTTGGGAGAGTCCCACGTTTTCCCAGCAAGACTGAAAGGCGGGCAGAAGGCAGTGTGGCAGTTGTTTCACTGGCGCCAGAGCGCCGACCTCCAAGGGCATAGGCTCTTATTTGCATCCCTATTTGCATCTCGTTTGCACATGAGTTATTTCCCCTTCAAAAGGCAGAAGTCCTTTCTCAGTTACTCCCAGCTGAAGCTATCTACTCCCGTCTTTGCCAGCCTTAGAGCCATATCCATTTTTCTGGCCATTCTTTGACCCCTCTGACCTGCGCCCCTTCGTGTTCTTACGTCGTTCGTTCTCAATCCTTAGCCTACCCCAGCTTCAAAGCAACGACCCGGCTCGAGAAGCCGGGGGACCTGCGCCGCCTGGCGGCTGGCGGGAGGAAGCGGAGGGCAAGGGGGTTCTGTTTCGCCTTCTCTGGGACGTGGAGTTTTGGAAAATGTTCCCCCGAGCTTCCTGAGGCTAAATTTATCTCCCCCTGCCCTGGGGGGCGCAGAGATCCCGGCGACGATTAGCGCTGCGCGGCAGCGCGCTCCCGCCCAGAGGCCCGGAATAGGCGCCGAGTTATAAATAGAGCAGCCCGCAGGTGT